ACCGCGATGCGCCGGTATCATTAACATCCACATCTTCGGCCCTTCCGCCGCCGCCCCCCATTTCTGAACAAATTCGACACTGTACACTATTCATCATAATCCTCTTCCCCCATCTTCTACCCCCTATACCATACTTACACACTTCACCACGGCGTCTTGGGTTGTTCGATCTGGATTTTTCGGTTCTTTTCGCTCTTCTTCGTCTTTTCCTGTTTCCTGCCTGGTGCAATGCAACAAAAGCAACAACAGCTACTGCTGCTGCTGCTACTACTGCTACTTCTACTACTACTAATGGTATATGGGCATCATCGGTTGGTCGGTCTCTTTAAAGGTTTCTTTCTCTGTCAATGTACTTCTAGATAGCCGGCCTTCGCGCCTCCTTAACACCAGCATCCAAACAACCGCTTGACCGCTGCCAACTACGCAGTCCTTCTCCTTCTGTCACCGTAGACATCCTCTCTTCTGCTCCTTCTGCTGCTCGTGTGCGTGGCCCTGCCCCTGCTCATGTGACCCTTCCCGGACGGCCCTGCTTCTACTTCGTCCGCTTGTAGCTCCTGTGGTTTCAACGTCAACCCAACCCTGCGACAAGCTCCTCGCAGCAGAGACGGACTCGCAGAAGCAGCAGAAGAAACAAGAAAGATACGCCTGTCGCTCGTCTCTTCACTGTAGGCCTCTCGAGTCGCCTGCGCAGCTGCCCGTCTGCTTCTCCCTGCTGCAGCGCCCGACCCTTGACCACGGCTAGCCGTCGACCCCGGACTGACTACCTTCTTTCCCCTCAGAAAACAACATCACCGCCAGAACTACTACATATTCACGCTATAACTACACCCGCGCCACACAAATACAGAGAGAGAGAAAGCACCCAGACACACAGCCATGCTGTCATAAGTTACTGTATCTCGACTATATAACATCGTCTGCAGCTCCTCTTTGCTCAGACTCGGCATCGTTACGCACTGCTCTGCTCGGTCTGGGGCTATGCTGCCATAGCTAGTTAGTTGTTTGACCAACTAGTCAACTATCGATAAGCGCAAGCAGCAGAGCTGCCAGCTTCAAGAGGGCAGAAGAAGAAATATCGAGCTGGTGGACCATTTTACCACTGCTTGACACGGGCACACACGCACACACAACACACACCCTCAGGCAGATACACACACGCTGGACCAGTGACACCGTACCACAACAGAAACAGAGTAGTTAAAGGAGCAGATCGAGCAGGAAAAAAAGCAAAGCAAAGGAGGATAGCGGCAAGGTAAGTAACTGATAGTCACTCAGTTTCAAGCAAACAACACTGGCAGATACCTGTCTCTCTTGTTTTCCGGAGAAGGCATTTACTGACTCTTTCGCTGCACGGGGGGGCCACCTTCATAGCTTCTTAACAAAGGTACGGACTCCTGATATCCCGCACCAGCAACATCAGCATCAGAAGACATCGGCGTACAGCGCTGTCACGCCCAGCATGAGCAGTGTACCAGGCTCCGGCTCTGGTGCTGGTACAGGCGCTGACTCTGGAGCTGGCAATGGTTCCGGCAGTGGCATTCCAGCTTCGACTTCCCCTTACCCATTACCAACCACAGCCATCCCTACCATCTATCGCACGCGCAGGTCCTCTTACGCCTCCGTCCTGTCGCGCCAGCCAGGCCAAGCAGAGCACGAGCATGACGAGCACTACCCTCCGTCTCCGTTCCGCTCAAGTCTAACTCCATCGTCTAGCACCAATAACAACGCCATCCAAGATACCTCCTCCTCCAGATCCCGCAACCAAGTCCCTTTCTCCTCTTCCGCACTCCCCACAGATCCCGCAGCCATGCAACAACAGACAAACGGCAGCGGTGCTGGTGCAGGCGCAACCGCAAACAGCTGGCGGAGACCAAACTCAAACCTCTCCTTCCAACTGGGTCAGGGCATCGGCGTGGGACAGCTCCCATCATACTCAAAGCAATTTGAGAAACTGCTCGAACAGGCTGATATGAATGCCCTACCTTTTGGCCTCAACAATTCGCTATACCAACAAAACCCAGAAGACTCCTTCTTCACTCCTTCATACCTCCGTTCGTCGAAATACGTCGCCCAGCTATATGCAGCTCACAAGGCAAAGCTCTCCTCCCAGCGAGATGCTCAATCGCAGAGTCAGCATACGCCTACCCCAGGCTCCTCTGCCCAACATCTCCCCTCAGCCTCCTCGCTCCCCCTATCTGCCTCGTCAAGTCAGCTTAACCTACACCGCATGGCGCCTTCGCACAGAGGAATGACATATGACATCGTTGAGAGTCATGGTCCTGGCGGTGACTCGACTGCACCGCTAGAGGGACAGCAACTTACCCCACTACCTTCTCGTTGGAACGAGAGTGATAAGTACAGCGGCCTGGATTTGTTAGGAGAAGGGCTAGAGGTACGGTATATTGGCCATGTGCCTAAACAGGAACACGAGGCCGCAGCCGTAAGAGCCGATCAGCCTATGCCTGTCAAATGTGGTATATATTACTTTGAAGTCACTATTCTCGCCAAACCGAAAGACGGGTATGTCAGACAACTCAGCTCATTCACCAGCCTTTCAATCTTATGCGATAAAAACAAAGAGACTTGCTAACAGCTTTAGCAGTATGATTGGTGTGGGCTTCTCGAATAATAAGGCTTCTCTGGAGAGATTACCAGGCTGGGAGCAGGAATCCTGGGCCTATCATGGTGATGACGGTAAGACGTTTTTCGGTGACAACCAGGGCCAGGGAAGGTCTTATGGACCTACATTTACCGTCAATGATACGATTGGATGCGGCATTGTGTTCTCTACTGGAAACGCTTTCTTTACAAAAAACGGGTCTTTCCTCGGTGAGTTGGTACAGTCTATCAAACATACGGCTTGCGTTTGATTTAAAAAAGCTCATTACTAATGGCCATGGCAGGAAATGCGTTCCGTGATTTGAAGCCCGCGAAGCTATACCCATGTGTAGGCATGAGAAAACAGCCTGGCGCACATGTCAAGGCGAACTTTGGCCAGTTTCCATTCATCTTCGACATAGATAGTATGATGGCGGTACGTTGTCCCACTCCCATCTTGTGAGTGAGCTGTGGAATACTAACGAGAACCTGGATAGAGCGAAAAATATGATGTCCAGAAGAACATCCAGATGACGGACCTCTCTACCTTGCATCCCACATTAGATGAATCGGAATTCATGCAGAAACTTGTTGCCCAGTTCCTCGCACATGACGGATATGTAGAAACTGCCAAGATATTTGCACAGGAAGTTCAGGATGAAAAGCGTGCTTTGCAAACTTCCGGAGAAGTGTCCATGAAGGAACTCGAGGTTGAGGATGATGTAGATGCCATCAACAGACAAAGTAGGCCCAAGCTCCGTCTAATCCCCATCAAATGGTACCAACTAACTTCGTGCGCAGAAATACGAGCAGCGATACTAGAGGGAGACATCGACAGGGCCCTGAAGCTGACAAATGTACACTATGCCAGCGTCCTCGGTGACAACCCACACATCCATTTCAGACTACGATGCAGAAAGTTCATTGAGATGATGCGTCGCTGTACTGAGCCGCAGCCTGCCGCAATCAGTTCATCAAATGGCCTGTCGGAACCTACCAGAACAACTTCCGACGGCTTCACACTCGACATGGAAGTCGATGACCAAATGCCTGACGTCGATACCAATGAAGCAATTGCTCCTAGCGACATGATGGACACTGATGCTAGCAACACCAACGATGCTAACAACGACACCACAACTGTCAAAAAGGACCAAGACCTTTTGCACGAAGCTATACTGTATGGCCAACAGCTACAAGCTGACTACTCCGGTGATGAGAAGGAGCACAAGAAGACCCTGGACGACATCTTCTCACTAGTAGCCTATGCGGACCCCAAGACTTCTGTTCACGGCCACTTGCTGGATCCCAGCGGTCGAGTTGCAGTCGCGGAGGAACTAAACTCTGCCATCTTAGGTAACGTCCCTCTACACTTGCTTCCCACTACATCTACTAACAGACTACCATAGTATCACTGGGGAAGTCCTCCTCCGCGGCGGTGGAGCGGCTGTACCAACAGATCGAGGCACTTGTAAACGAACTCAGCGAAGACGGCGGCGCAGGGGCGTTTATTAACGTCGTTGACGACTACTTAAAATAGTTTCATCTCTCATTCCTACTGTTTTATCCATTTTATCCGGGATTCATCAACATTAACACATCCATCGTTATTCATTCATGGGCATCATGGCGTCTGTCTATTAGCCGTACTCATACTTATCTCCTCTTATCCCCCTTTTCTATTCTTTACCCACATACCTCCCTGCTTGCCTATCTATATTTACAACTGTACGTCACCGCCCCCTCACGTTTTATATTATTTATCTATGCCTCTGTTCTACCCTTGCGTCTATGCCTGAGTGTCTGGAGTTTGTGCCTCTCTGTAACTCTCCCCTTTTTCGCCTTTTATAATGGTTCAACAATCAAGTGTCTGTCTGCCTGACTCCAGGAAAACTACGGTGAAGTGTGTAGTGAGGAAGTCTATACGTAGTAAGTAGTTGTTAATAGCAATAGATAAAAGTGATAAAAAAAATCCCCATTCCATAAGGAAGCGAGTTAAATCCGATATTAAGAAAGGAGGGTAAAAAAAGAAAAAGAAAAAAGAAAAGTGCATCGACCGGGAATCGAACCCGGGGCCCGTCGATGGCAACGACGGATTTTACCACTAAACCATCAATGCTGTTTGATACAAGCAGTCTATTGTGAGTGGTTTAGCAGATCATAGCTGATTAGAGCTAGATATTTACCTGAATAGGCCGTTTCAACGTCAACCACTTTCTTTCCACTTTCTTCCCAGCGACATGTCAGTTAGTAACTGGTTGTGCCGGAAGGTATGATATTATTGTCATGGCCAATGGGTCAGCTAAGTAGTTCGATAGCTTCTGAACATTTTCTCCGGCACTTATTGGGCTCATGTCTTCCCGCTCAAAATTAGTGGGGGGGCCGCGGACGTGCGAGCCTTGTCCGCATCCTTCATGACAACAACGAGAACGGCCTTACATTTGCGAAGGATTCGTCTCCAATCCTATTATGAAGCGCCAGCTACTGCGGGGTGAGTTTAGTCCCCTCGCATAATATACCCCTGCCCGCAATGGAGTGCCTATCGATGGACCTATATAAACCATGAGTTATCCCAAGACGAGTCCTCCATTTCCTCCATTAGAATATAAGCCGCCACTCCTTAGAAGAAGAAAGCATCAAATAATTGATTCCAATCTACCAAAGGCGCGTGAGGATGGGTGGAGAATACAACCAAATTCCTATGGTCTACCAGGAAGCAATCAAGAAGTATGAGGAAATCACTAAAAAACCGCTGCTTGATCCAACCTTGCTTGAAATCACATCCACCGACGCTCTGCTGGATAAAATCGAGAAGGAAAATGGCAAATTCGACGACTTTCGGTCAACCAAGCACGGCTTATTCGACGCGCTAGAATGTGCTCTGAAGCCCATCGAGCTGGTTGAACATCTTGTGTCTGGGGCAGCTTCTATAGCGTTTCCTCCAAGCTCTCTTGTGTTTGGTTCAGTCCTTTATTTAATGGATGCTGCTAAGGGAGTTTCTGCCTCTTACAACGCTATTAAAGACTTGATGGACTCACTTGAGGTATGACCTGCGAGAGAATTAGGTTTTTCTTCAACTAACATGAAAAATATAGAACTTTACCGTTCGGTTACGCATATACAACCGCGAGCTTATTTCGAATGAATTGAGTAAACATCTTAGTGATATCCTTGTCGTTCTGATTGAGGTCTTCGCCTTATCCCGAAAGGCAATCAAGGGAGGCAGGTTTCTCAAGTTTGCCAGGAATGTTTTAATTGGTAATGACGACAAAATTCAGGAGGCAGTTGGAAGGCTCGCCAAACTCACTGAAACTGAGCACCGTCTTGTGGGTGCGGAAACATTAACAGAGACCAAGAAGACGAGCCGTGCAGTTGATGACGTCGCGATCACTCTCGCTGCCACCACCTTGACAGTAGACAAAACCAGCCACTCGGTTTCTCAAATCAGTCTTGAAGTGACGGACATGAACCAAAAATTGAATAACCTTCTACACGAAACGGCATCATCAAACGAGATGTCAAAAGCTGAACAAGACAGAAATCACCAAGATTTTATCAAAGGAGCACTCGAGCCTTCGGTCAGTGCTTATGACTGGTACGACAAGATCAATAAGTCTCGAGTTAAGGACACTGGAGACTGGATCAGAAATGAACCATTTTTTATATCCTGGGCAGAGAAAAAGATACCTATTCTGCGAGTCTCTGGTAACCCTGGGGCCGGAAAGTCTTACCTCGCATCCAACATGATATCATACCTCACTGGCGAGTATCCACAGCTTGTGCATCACTCTTCTCGTGTCTCAGTGGGATATTTCTTCTTCAAGGATGATAACCCGAAAACAAGGTCTATTCACCAAGCACTTCGTGACATGGCATATCAAATCAGTCAAAATGACCCGGTTTATGCGAAGTATATTGTGACAAGCGCCCTCACGTCTGAAGATGTTAGCACCATCGAAAGTGCCTGGCGAATGCTCTTCGTCAACTTCTTTGTCAAAAAGTCAAACATAGCCAGCAGTGTTTATTTGCTTCTTGATGGGGTTGATGAAGCATTTGATGCGGAAATACAGCCGTTCTTTGATCTTGTTAAAGATATAAATGAAGGTACATATTTAGGCCCCAAATTCACTGAGGCTTTTTATTTTCCTTCTTTGAGATTTTTGAGGAAGGCTTTCGTTAACGCCTTTTGTTAATTAGTGACCGATAATCCTCGAATTCAGCTGGCAATAGTTGGAAGGCCCCAACTCGGCGATCTTATCTCAGAGTCTCTTGAGGTGGATGAGGTTCCTACGATCTATATCACGGAAAATAAAAACTCAACTGACATTATTTGTTTCATCGAGAACAATATCCGAAAGTCGAACATTCTTAAAAGAGTCTCGGGAAGACTACGATCAGAAATTATCAAGAAACTTTCTGATCGGGCTCAAGGCATGTTTATTTGGGTTCAATTGATGCTAAAAGAGTTGTTGAAGAAGAGAAGCGAGTCAGCAATCCGTGAAGCCCTGGATTCTGCGCCTCGTGGCTTGGATGAAATGCTTTCTCATGTCCTCACAAGTTTCTCTTTGACTCTTGTTGATGATTATTCAGATACCCTGAACGAATTATTGGCTTGGGTAACATGTGCGCAGTGGCCCCTGACACTGAGAGAGCTTGATACAATTTTAAAGCTCAAATCCCCTGACGGGGATGGTATGATCTACCTGGAAGGCCCCCTTCGGAGACAGTTTGCTTCTTTCTTCAGCCTTAATCGCGAAGATGGATTAACTACTGCCGAACTATATCTCATGAATCCAAACGTTGCTGGCTCGGATGACGAAGATAATATAGGTCGCACCCAGGAGAAGACTTTTGAAGATGCGGATGATGCAACTCAGTTTGATTCGAACCCAGATACAACGACGGTTACATTTTGTCATTCCTCCCTAGGAGACTTCTTTCGGGGTGTGAAGGGCAAAGTTTCCGCAGGTGACGGATATCCCAGTATCGGCGTCGACTTCAATGACGCTCAATTTAACGTCGCGAAGTTATGCCTGGAGATTTTGTGCAACGAAGAGGGAGAGGATAAAGCCACAAGCTTACGATATGATGCGGATGGGCACTGGCCAAAACACCTCCATATGCTTAGTGCATCTAAAAAGTCGTCGCTTGAAATTTCGTGTGATGAAGAATCCATGTTGAAATCGGAGGATACAGCCGCAAGCTTACGATATTATGCGGCTAAGAACTGGCCAAAACATCTTCATAAGCTTGATTCCTCAAAAATGACAAATGCACAAAAGATACAGATAGTCATTTTATTGTGTCGAATGTTTACCCAACAAAGCACCATGAAATATTGGATTTTTACTGTCGGGCCACCATTTTTGACTACAACAAACCTGGGACAAGTAAGAAAATGGATGGATGATGAGCAAATCGTAACTGAACTACCCCCTGGTTGTCAAGAATTTGTCAGGTCAACTTCCAGCTCACCTGCAGACACATTTAGGTCATTAATTCTAGTTGTCGAAAGATATTGGCTTGGTGATTTACTAGGGCATTCCGAGACTTGCTGCGACATGGTTTTCAACTATTTTTGTCTTAAGGATGGAACTCCGGATCTGCAGCATGAAGGTTGCAACTCCGCCGCGATACTTATCTCTCTAGCCGAGAGGTTGGGCATGGAGAAAACAGCGAATTGGTATCGGAGAGTTGCTGTGACTTTACGTGACAAAGGTTTCCTTGAAGAGTCCTTGACGTACTTTACCAAATCATTAGAGCTTGACAGTACTTTGTGGCTCTCGCGTGGTGGTATGGCAACGACATATTTCCAGCTGGGACAGTATGAGAAAGTTATTGAACTGCACGCATCATTAATATCCGAAGTTCAACAGGGTACGGGGAGACTAGCCGGAGTGAATAAGTATCTTCATGCAATGTATGAGCGGACGGCTGAATGTTTTGCCAAACTGGAGGATACGGCAAACGCGTTGAAATATTATCAGAAAGGCCACAGCATTTCCCCTCAATGCAACAAATGTATTTGTCAACTTCTACTTTTGATGGATGCTCAGAAACTCTGCGAAGATATAATCTTGACACTGAAAGCCATGCAAGGGAGGATGACCCCAACCGGAGATTGCGCTTATTTGGCCGTCTTCGTATATATCAACTTTGATGTTAACTCAGATTACTTCAAACTTGTCGCGCGAGCTGCAAGAAACACAGGGCAAGAGGATTTTTTCATCGATGCTTGCCGAGACACGATTCGTGTGACAAAAAAGCTGTTAATTTCGGTTGAGTCAAGCAAGCTCGAGCTTTGTCTTGCGGATTTCTATTATAAGCATACAAGGGAGCAAGCCAAAGCTCTAAGGATATGGAACAAGCTGATTGAAACCTTTGCAGAACCAAGACTGGGAAGTGCCATATTCTTCGTCAAAGATGAGGCAACAGACCGGCTAGCTACCCATTACAGCCGAAAGCTATGGCAAGCAGGCATTGATTTTTCAAATGCAGAAAATGATGTCAAGAATTTAGAGCGGTTAGCGAAACAGGAGTCAAACCCTCATGGGAGCAGCTCCTCCATATCCTACGCTGCCAATAAGGCTGCCATTCGCCTTGGGCTGTGGTATCGACTACAAGGTAGAAGGGAGGACGCAGATGCCTGTTTTCGACCATCGATCAAATACGCACTCGAATTATTGTCAAATGATGACCTGGAAAATGATACATTCGCTTACAAAATTCTTAGGGAGGTGCTATTGGCAACCGGTGAGAATGAGCTCGTCATTCCCATTTTCTATTGCCTAGTAGCAATGCTCAATGATTCGACGAGAACTAAAATGGGGATGCGAAGGATGGGAAGTCACGATGACACCATCGGTGACAAGCCTACTATTGGGGAATGTAACGGATGCCAGAAGCTACTTCGAGGGAGCGACAACGTCCACGTCTGCACTTATTGTCTTGGGATGATGTTGTTTTGCGAAAAATGCGAACAGCTCGCAAAAGACGGTGTGATACCAGAGGGGGTTTGCAATGTATCACATGTATGGATGCTTATCCCACGCAACCCCGATCCATATGTGACTGGCAAGTTTCGTATTGGAGGTGTGCTTGTTGATTTAGAGGCCTTTAAAAAGCAGCTAGCCAGGCGCTGGGGGCTTTGATCAGGACACATACTCCAGACTAACGAGGAACGGCGACACTCAGCAGTTTTAGTAGGATCCTCGAAAGCTACATAATATATGGTTATGTCCAGGACCTTGAGGAACTTCCCCTGTAGTAAGAGCTGTCAATAGTGTCCAAGGATGCAGTGTTTTGGTCGAGGCGGCTGTCTCTACTTCCTTCCGCCTTGCTTTCGCGGGCTAGAATATATGAATACTTCGGTCTTTCCTATTGCGGAAAGGTGTGGTGTTTAGAAATATCAACTTCTCCTCCACTTCTCTTCTTTGCTTCGCTTTGCTGTACTTACTCAAGGGGACTGCTTACATATTCGCCTCAGCTTATTATGAAAAGGACTACATTGCATTTATTTTCATGCACCGGAGCGATTCTACCTCTCTGAGAAATAGGCTGATGTGCCTGATGCCATCAGATCGCACAGACGAAGCGCGACCATTGCTTGCCACCCATCAACATTTAACACCATCTTCCAGCTCCGCCAGATATGCCGGTGAGAACACCTCGAGTTGATCTCTCATCTCTCATCAGGCACGCCGTTTTGGCATTCCTCGTGATATACCCAACCACCGCTGGGGCAAGTTGTGAATGTGGCTTCGTCATCAACGATACTCAGGACTACTACACTCACCTCATCCACAACAATTTCAGCACCTACTCGCCAACAAAGCCACTAAGTACGAACCCCAAGTTTACACGTGACTGGGCAATTCAGAAATGGGGGTTGCCGGTGATGAACTGGGCGACACCCTTGCCTATACTCAACCGTCCTGAGAATGTATATCTTGAAAATGGTCAGTTGACGCTGCGGCAAGAAGGGTATTCGAAGGAGTCTGTACTGTCTGCGCATAACGTTAGCGTAGCGTCAATCGCCAGTCGTGCTTCCAATATCTTGCATGGAAGCTTTCGGGCAGATATGATAATGGAAAATGCTTCGGGAGGCAGTGTGGCCGGATTTTTCTGGTATCGTGTCTGTACTCCTTATCCAAATTGGTTTCTCCTTTTTGAAAGAGTCCTAACGGAAAGAACAGGATGACAAAAACGAAATCGATATCGAAATCCTGACGAGAGAGTTCAAGCCCGACTCCATGTTGGTTCATTACACCACGCATCCGGCCTTGGATGATCGAGGATGGCTGATTGATAATGCAACTGAGATCATTGCGTTAAAGGGACACCGGCCAGCCGAGCACTTTCAACTCCATCGGTTTGACTGGACAAAAGAAGAGCTGCGGTTCTACCAAAATTCGAAGGTAGTGCACACCAACAACCTCCGCATTCCAAAGGACGAAGGAAGCGTTTACTTGAACCTCTGGGCAGACGGGGGGATGTGGAGCGGATCTCCAAGCACGACTGACGTGTATCTCCGAGTCAAGCATCTTTCGATATACCACAACACCAGCGCAAGCGAGAACGGGACGGACACTGCCTTTTCCAAGCGGTGCCAGAGGGCTGGTGGCCTTTCAACTGAGACCGTATGCTATGATGTGTATATCAATAGCGGCTTGCAGGTTCCATCCTCCAAGAGTAAGAGTCTGGCGCCGCCTCCCTTTTGGATGGTATTTCTTTTCTCTCTCGCCCTGGCAACCGCCATCACTTCACTAACTTACAGTGACTTCCTGCTGTAATATTCCTCCTGCCGCCATCCATCCATCCCCTCCCCCGCTTTTTCTTTTCTTTTCTTTTTCCTTTTTTTTTTTTCCCGCAATGTGTTCATCTCTCTGAGGGTCCTCTTGACGTTGTATTAGTTATATCAATTTAGCTGTTGGATAAAAACACGTGTGCAAGCTGCACCCTATATATCCTTGTTCACCCTTTGCTCCTCATTTCGGACCTTTTGCTTTGCTTTTTTTCCCTCCGTTCCTCCGCAGCCACTCACGGCCCGGTGATCCCAATCGGCTCCAGGAACTCGATGAATAATGTTCCCACTGGCCGGATATTAACGGAGGCCGGTTCAATTCCGGCCTCTTGGCTGGTTCCAGTGCTCCTGGCCAATCGTAGGCGTGGCGATTGAGGTTTGACTTTGGACGTCCTTGTAGCTTGCATGTACTATTCTGCGCTGGCTGGAAACAAAAGGAACATGAGAAACGACATCAGGGTGCCATCTTCAACCGAACTGCTCATAAATACATCCCTGAGCATCGAGGAAGAAGGGTTTAGAGGGGTGTAAGGGACCTCACCAGGACTCCTGGAGGCTGAAATGTACTTTAATACCGCGTTTATAGACGATCTGATAATCTAATCTGTCAGCTGGCCAGACCGGGCCAGGCGGGTTTGGGTTCGTTCGTACCGTCCAACGACAGTTTACCTAATCAAGCCATGAGCCTCCTCTGCCTGTTTGATATCGACGATATCAACATGCCAGGACTCTATATAAGCCCCAGGGACGATGCCAGTGACATCTACGATGCATCTGCTGGGCTATACCCAAGAAAGCCGCCCTATTTCGTCATCTGATCAAGCAGCGGCTTGTCAGGTCCCTCTCTTTCTGTCCAGCTTTCGTAATTAGTGCGTGAGGCCGGTATCAATTCCGGCCTCAAGAAGGATATATAATGCTGCCATACTCCCCCTCCAGATTCCCATTTTCCCCTTCCTTTCTACCATCTTTCCCAGGCCAAATAGGTGAATTTGTACTTCGTTGCTGCATCATATCATTTCCCACGCCTGAAAAGCCCCTTTCCCCCTCTCATTTACATCTACTCCTTCCCCCTATACATATATACATAGGCTTGCCACCCATTCTCACAGAGAGAGACGCACCTACAACACCACACCCCCTACCATATCTTCAAAGCCCTTGTTCTTCCCCCATCGTCCCATCATCCATACACCATGACTCGTATCGAGGATGTTCCTACTTCAACCATGAAGGCCTTCCCTCATGTGTTTGATGATCCCCAGTCCATTCCCAAGTCCGTTGACCCCTTCACCATCACAGCTGCGTCAGGATTCATGCCTACCATCCTGCCAGCAACCACCCTGCCGGAGGTATTCGCTCCTCTATCCTCCATCATGGACCGCCTCCCTGTCCGCAAGGCTGATGGAACTCCCGGACTGCTTGCTACCTATGAACTGGGTGACGTTGTCCATGCGGAGCTCCCTGATCTCACGGATGAGATTGACAAGATTGTCACCCCTGATGGCAAGCCAGATCTATATACGCTTACAGCCATCTTTAGAGACTACTCCTTCCTTGCCTCTTCTTACCTCTTGGAGCCCTGCTGGAAGTCCTGGAACACTAATCCTGACCAAGGCTATGGTCTTGGACGTGATAGACTCCCTCACTCTATTGCTGGCCCAATGTATAAGAGTGCTCAGATGTATGCTGCCCCTCCATGCTCCCTCCAGCCACCATGCTGTATGTATGATGATGTCATGCTAACGTTGTTGACAGCTTGGATCTTCCTCCATTCCTGTCTTATGCTGCCTCGTATGCTCTGTTCAACTATGCCCTTGCCGACACCTCCAAGGGATATGACTACTCCAACTTGAGGCTCATCCGTGGCTTCGAGCACGGTCTTGATCCTGACAGCTCTGAAGCTGGATTTATTCTTACCCACGTGTATATGGTCAAGGAGACTGGCTCCCTTGTTGACGGTGTCGTCCGCATCCTCAATGCCGTTGAGCAAGGTGCTGACCGTGCTACCGTCAATGATGCCTATCGTACCATCCTTGCTGGCATGACCAAGATCGAGGAGTGCATGGAAGGTATGTCAACCAATGCACTGCAACCCCTTTATAATGCATAGTAACTCAACTCACATCGCTACCTAGACATGTGGAAGAACTCCAAGCCAGGCGACTACATCTCTTTCCGTGTGTTCATCTTCGGCATCACCTCCCAGTCCATGTTCCCCAACGGCGTCGTCTACGAGGGCATCGAGGACAACCAGCCCTTGAACTTCCGCGGAGAGTCCGGGGCCAATGACAGCATCGTAAGCCTATCTTCATACCAGCTGAAGATGATCCTAGCTAACCTCTTTCTTACTCTACCACTTATAGATCCCACTACTGGATCATCTCTGCCAGATTCCCATGCCTGATACTCCACTCACTAAGATCTTGCATGAGTTCCGTGCTTACCGCCCATTGCCCCACCGCAAGTTCCTTGCCCATGTCGCTGCTAAGTCCGCCGAGCTCGACATCCCCAAGTACTCCATGCAGGACCCAGAGACCGTCTTCCTCTACCTAAAAACGCTCGACCACGTTCGCAGCTTCCGGTGGAGACACTGGCTCTTTGCCCGAGAATACATCATCAAGCGCACCTCCCACCCAACTGCTACCGGAGGAAGTCCCATCGTCACCGTAAGTTTTATCTCCTTCTTTTCTGGCCTTGTCGATACGGCTATTAATCTGGTATATAGTGGCTTCCCAACCAGCTTTTTGCTGTCATGGACCTCATGATTGCCACTTATGACAATGCTGTCGTTCCAATGTTGAAGAACGGAGCTGGCACAAAGGGTGAGAACCTTGGTTCATTCGATAAGTACAAGGACCAGGTCGAAGAGATGATGGAGCTTGTAAGAGACCAGAGGGATAAGCTGGATAAGGAAGTTCTCAAATGGTGCCAAGAGCGAGGTGTCCCAACCAACCAGTAAATTGGTTATTACCCTACCCATCTCTTTCCTTTACCCACTATCCTCTATTTCTTTCTTTTATTTGTCCCAGAATCATTTTTCACGTGAATCATGAGCTAGAGTGGGAGGCATATTGATTAGGGATATTCTTCTCATTTCTTAAACTGTGTCCTTAGCCTTACAACCATTATCAAGTATTTAGAATAAAGAATTAAAAGTTAAAGATTATCTACTATCATAGATATAAGGCGTCATTGCATAAGAAATCATATGCCGCTTGATTTATCGAAAAGTGATCCCTTTACTGCGCCCATATTCAATTGCATCTCTGCTAATTGGAGTCGCGGGGTTCAACAACAAAATCCTTTCTAGGTTCATATTTGGCGCATCCGCGAGCAACTTAACCGAGTACCCCGTAACTTCAGTAAGCGATAAATTTAGCATCTTTAGGCTGGGCATCGTATCAATCATGATTTCTGTGATGCTATCATTCATACCCATAATGCCAGGAATACCCAGTTCCGTTACCGAGCGTAAATACCCTTTCTTCATGAAAGGGACCAGCTCCTCTGCAGTGAAATTGCAGTATGCAATATCAAGAATCGTTAAATCTGGAGTCAGACTTGATTCCAAGGCAGAAAAGTAACCGTCAATCATGAAGCCTATGTCACATGAGAGGCTGGAAAAGCTTAGTACCCTCAATTTTGAGAGGCCATTTAGGAAGCTGTATACAGGCACGGCCCCAATAACTGGATCGATGAGAACAGAGTTCAAAGTTAATTTTTCCAGACGCGTGGGTAGTGCCTTAAGTGCAGCATCCAAAGTGAACTTGTTGAGGGAAAGTGTGCATAGAGACGGGTGATCAGATAGGTCTGTGTCCACACCATGAAGTTCCATCTCTACATCAACGCCGGAAACCTCCAGTTCTTCAAGCACGGGCATAGTATCCTTTAATGAGCTCTATATATTTGCAAGGTTAGACAAAATTTTACACACAATGACTGTGGATATCGTGCTTCTTACATCGAAGAAAAATGGGTTCATGACGGTCATCTCATAAAAGGTGAGGCATAAACTTCGAATCCGAGGCGCAGGAGAGCAACTCTTCCAATCCTGTCGCTTCTTTGCTTCACTCAGCAAAAGTTTAGCGTATTCGAGAGTAGGACATGCTGCGAGCAGAGAGTTGAATTCCGCAGAAGTCAGCTCACGGTGCCAGACAACCAACTGTTTCAGTCCAGTAAAATCATGGAGTATTTTGATGTCTTCCGGTGTTGCTAATTGAACATTTAAACTAAGTTCGGCGAGTCTTGGACATCTCGAAAGGAGACGTAAAGTTTTCGAGGCGTTTTGCGGGGTAATGCAGCCAACAACAGCAGACTCTATGAACTTAGCATGCCGCACGCAATATGCACGAACTGCCTGGAAGGGAACGGTGTGTTGTCTCGCGAGAGTGAAATCCACCCGTGAAAAGGCTTGGCCTAGAGACACGGTTAGCTGATTCCACCTTTTAGAGACCCGAAGCAGTTTTCTGTTTATCCATCAAGGACAAGCTCAGTCAGTGGGATTCTAAATAGAGACGGGATCTAGAGGCTGTCACCTACAGCAGCGCTGGTACATTGAAATGCTGAAGAACCATGGCAATAATTTCGGGAGGGAAAATAGAAAATGGATCCCGCCGGGGTGGGTTTATAGCTCGATCAAGCTTCGCTTTGAATACTTCAATTTTCTGACAATTCTGAGTTAGATTATATTCGAATATGAATGGAAAGAAGAAGGTTTGCCCACAGATCGGTTTTCATCCTTTGAGTCCACTGATTTAAGAGCGTGCTCATACAGTCTTAGGGCATCTTCGAATCTTTTCTTCAGCTGTAGAACCTGAGCTGTACGCAGATAGCCCTGTATAAAGGGGTTAGTATCATTTGTGCACAGAATTTGTCTATTGCTAGTGGGGTATGCATATGGGACTTCCTACTCGTGCGTCTGACTTGTCGAGTTTGAGCATTCGTTTCCCATCCTTGAAGGCTAGGTCCAAATCGCCCAGTTTGCAGTATGTAGCGGACCTGTTGTCCAAAATCCTCATTCTATCATCTTCTGCTTGGCCCAAGGCCTGGATTGAACATTATTCGATGCATTAGAAACGACTCAACTATGGTCTTCAAGTAGTGGAGTAAGTTACCGTCGTGAAAGCTGTCAGAGCGTTGGCATAGTTTCGCTGCGCGTATTGGCTTTGGCCGTAGGCTAGAAGTGCTCGCCTATCATCAGCAGCACCTAGATCGCCCGCTGGATCCATAAAGACGTTGATGTTAGCCCGTGAAGCAGTAAAGCGCACGGCGGCTAATGATGAGACGTTGGATTTAACTAAACTCAACATGGTCCGGGCTGCGGCTTAAATAGTACTAATAACCAACCAACCAGTCAACTTAGTTAACTAAGCTAACTAACTTCGTTAATTAAAATGAGTTAACTAGTTAATCCCTGCCACGCCAACTGGCAAGCAGTTAAGCAGCGAACTCGGAACCAAGATTGTATTACTACCGCACGAATTAGTTAAGTAGCTATCTCGGCGAGTTAGGTATATAGCTACGACGGGTACTCTGCTTCTCACAGCCTTACGGAGATTAGCTAGTTAACTACCTATGTCACGAAAACAGTTAATTAATCAAAGAATTTAACCAGTGCTAACTAATTCACCAATGTAACTACACCGAGTCGTTAATCATTCACGAGCTAGTTATAGAGTAGTTAACTCGGCGTCGAAGGCATTTTTATTCCACCATGTGCAACACTTTTAAACCATACACACTATACATCCATGGGGATTGAGCTTGCATTTATGTTTGAAAATAGGCAGACCATGCTAAAGAGAAGGGTATGTCAATCAAGAGCTTGATAACGGGCACTGGCATGCGTAGAGTTCTACTTACTGGTGTAATAAAGACCCAACGTCCTCAGGCGTAGAAGGTCATTTTTCGGGACTAACTAGGGAAATCCGCATACACGGTCTCTGTACTAACGCAAAGAAGCAAGATTAAGCTTACATACGCTCAGCATAGTTACGTTAGTTCAATACTGATGTAAATGACAATTAGGTGTCCTATCAAATTACGATGATCTAATAGACAATGTAGAATCCCGCGGGAGGCGATTTGTTCTCATACAAGGAAAGAATAAGTGGATGCAGGAGGGAAAGAAATAGTTGGCAAGTAAAAGATATTATTATAAAATGCAGTAAGTAATGCAATATACCACCCAACCTTGTCCCGTCCTGTACTCCACTACTTGATGAGATAGTGAAATACACCTTTTCGTACACTAGTGCAATCAAGACAAACTCCATATTCGCCAGGCAAGTAAGACAGTAAGGAAAATTCAAAGATAGATGAGAAAAGGAAAGAGCTCGAGAATGTAGATGGTGGCTCACAATGGCTGGGTATGCTCGCATGAAAATATAGAAAATGTGTTAAAAAAGAAAGGGTATTAAATGATTAGTTATATAGTAGTCAAGAAAGGAAGAAGCCTAGGATGCCGATGAGCAAGAACATAAGAGAAAATGGCAATGGATGGAAGCTCGAGCATGCGCCTGAAGAAAGTGAGGCAGTCACGAAGTTCGGCCCACAAGCAACATTGACTTGAGTTGCAGCCGTGACATAAACTTCTGAAACAGGCTGCTGCTTGTTCCCGGCCGCCTGACGAAGTACTTTCATAGTAGGAGGTAGACATTTTCCGCACTTTGGTCGTCCGGCGGAGAGGGAATAGCCCAATGCGAGGTGGTAGATGTACACGTTCGCCGTCATACGGGGATCAGTAATTGCTTCTGCAAAGCAATAGTTGTTCGTCTCTGGGTTCGTCAGACATGTTGCATCACGCATAGCTCTGTATGCCAGAAATCCAGTTTTGGCAGCAATGACCAACGGGTTTCCTTTGGTCAGGTCCTCATTGCAGGCACCTTTCTTCCCGATTTCCTCGGCATAATAAGACAGTAGGGAGGTACATTTATCTGCATCTACAGCACATGCTGAACCAAGAGTCTGGGTAATGGAGGAGAAGGTCTTCGTTTTCTGAAAAAAGGAGCTGGATGTGGTGAGAAGGACGGATACGGGGATGCAGTCGTTGAAGGTGGCGTTTGACAGAAAGCTGTCGAAAAATTCCATACAGCTTGTGGTTGTGTTCTCGCTGCGATTAGTATCGAAGGCGGTAGGGGCAGGTCCGACGGAAACTGTGGGAGATGTGACGATAATGCTGGTTTTTACCGGATCGCCAGAATGCGATGGCTTTAGGATGACTGAAGGCTTCGAGGTTGGAGTGGCCGTATCGTGGTCTGGAGAGTCCCTTTTTTGTCGCTGGTGTTGGATGACGATATTATTATTAGCTGTGTCCGTCGGTGCTGATAGGCGTGCATCGACATTGATCGGCCGTAGTTCTACTGCTAGACCAGAACCAAACTGATGGTTTTCTAGAAGAGTGTCACCGGGCACGATGCTTGGGTCTGGCAAAACCCTGATACTGTAAGCGTTGACGGGATGTATTATTACAGTCCCCAGCAGGTGAAGTATCAAAGCCCAAAATATGACGGCTACGAGGGTAGTTGTTGGCGGGAGAAGCTGCAGCCGTGGACAAAGCGCCATCCCACCCTTAGATGCCCTTCTCCTTCACTCCTATACTCTGTACCAGATGCGGAACTAGCGGATTAATTATTGGATTAAGGCGTATATGTTGAAGTTGAGATGTCATAGGGTCGTAAGCGAGCGTGTCGATCAAATGGCGCCTTGGAGCAGAACGAAGAGAGAGAATAAAATTCCATGGGCTGGCCTGCCCATGATAATGAATAATAACTAAACGAGTGAACAGCCCTGACAGACAGGACAACTGTCGCCTTGGTCAAACGGCGAAAAATGGAAAGAGGGAAAGGGAAGGAAATAGGTGAAGAGAAAGAGAGAAGAAGGTGTGGATGAGAGTGATAAATATAACCCCCTGGGCCTGGCCTTATACGCCGCCTGCCCGGAAGCTCGCATGAAAGGCGTGAGCACCGGCTCTAGATTCTCAGCTGGCCGAAGGAATATCGACTTGCTACTGCGTTGGACCTCTGTCCCTGACAGGGCCAGCCCCCGTTTACTGGTACCAGACTTTGCCTTTGTGGGTGTTAGAGATGTTTGCTTTTTCCCCCCCTCTCTTCGTGTCCTCTTCTTTCTTTTTTGCCTCTGGTTTTGGAGGAATTACTGCGGATGGAGTGTTGTAGTGCAGGTGGCCCTGACACGTTATTTTCCAGGGGTTTCGCATGCTGTCCCTTTTAGTGGACGGCTAGTCGCAGATGGGCCTCCACTTGCTTTGACTTCGGTCGCCTTGCCTGGCCGATGAAATCGCTTCCTACAGGCACTCTTGACAAGGTTTTGTGGCCGGAGACGAGGAAAAAGGCCTTCGTTCTCCGTACAGAGAAAGCTTAGAGCTATGGAGACACCAGTCAATATAATGTAATCACTAAACGTCAAAGGGATAATGAACCGATATCTCACTTGCATCTCGGCCCCAGTGATAAGATGCCACTGAACTCGTCTTCCAAAGAATTCCACCACGAGGCCAAGCCCGTGCCTGGGCGGAAACTGCACAGAATCCCTAGCTTCGACAAGACCCCAAACTCCTGGTTCAAAGCACGGCCCTCGCTTAAAAACTTGCAGCATCCAACACTCACTACTGGCTTTCTCCGTATCAACCGATTGTCACTCGGTCAAGGAGCGATTAATAACGGGTACACGGGGGTTCCGGCAGCCCTGCAGCTCTAAGATGCGTGATCCAGGTAGACACAACGGTACAACTTAACTACCGTAGCAATATACTTAGGTAGCCAATCGCCATGGTCGCCTTGTCAAACCTATTTATATATAATACTGCGAATCCCTGGACTGGGATGCCTTGGATACCATGGTCGAGACTCCTCGCGCCGCGAGGCTATGCGGTTTCCCGTGGACTCTATGGCCTCTGACCTTTGCATGGGTAGACAACTCTTTGGTTGGAATACATGCCGGTCAAGGCAATTACGCAGCAGCCAACACATCTTGCCATGAACTGTCCAGGCTTCCAGGCTTCCGTAGATAGTGATGCAAGATGGTCCGGCCGCCGTGGACGGGCATCCAACATTGCTGCCTGGCTGGCACCCCGTAATCGTGGCAGACGACGCCAGGTAGACCGCACACTGTTGCTAGGAAGGCGTTCACGCTCCTCCCTCCCTTTCGTCTCATCTCAGCCCATCTCGTCTCGTCTTGTCTGTCCCTGGACGTCCATCATGTCCGTCATGTTTCTTGCATCTTCGACGTCTGACGTCCGCTCTGGCTACTTACGACTATCCACGTGACCGGTGGGAGGTCCCCGCCTATCGCCTTCTCGTCTCTATAAACAGAAAGAAAAGAGAAGCGGAACAAGCTGAAGCGGACGATGCGATAGCCAGAGACAGCCGACGGCTAGCTTGATACCACACACAGCGTCATGGCGGCAGGCTCTCCCAACCTCTACTCGTTCCCCGAACCGGGCGACCTCCAGAAACAGCTCAGGAAGTATGTGCTGCAGTCACAGAACGCCGCGTTAGCGAGACACTCAACCTTCCGCGTCGCCGTTTCAGGCGGCTCGCTCCCAGCGGTTCTGGCGAGCTCTCTGCTTGCTCCCGCCGACGGTACGGATGAAGACACGCCTAAGTTTGCCTCATGGCATATCTTCTTCGCAGACGAGCGGGTTGTAGCCCTTGATCACCCAGATAGCAATTATGGGCTGTTGAAGAAGGAGTTGCTCGACAAGATACCAACAGACCAGCTTGGCCAGCCGACGGTTCACCCCATTGAGCTACACGACGATATCCAGGAGGTGGCCGACCAGTATCAGGACGAGCTGAGACGCTCGTTTGCCGCCAAGGATAGTGTCAAAACGCCTGTTTTCGACCTTATTCTGCTTGGGTGCGGGCCAGACGGCCACACATGCAGCCTCTTTCCGGGGCATGAACTGTTGCTGGAGAAGGACTCATGGGTCGCTCCCATAGAAGATTCGCCGAAACCACCACCGAAGAGAATCACACTGACCTTGCCAGTGGTCACTCACGGATTAAGGGTTGCTTTCGTCGCTACAGGCGGTGGCAAGAAGGATATACTCTCCCAGATATTTGATCAAAACGAGGGTAGATCGCTTCCCTGTGCGATGGTTAATACCGCTGCTGGTGAGAAGGTTAGCTGGTTCACCGACTCAGCCGCTTCTCAACATGTTAGGTTCCCCAAGCGCGAGAACCTCTAGCTACTGTGTTATGTTATGATAAACGAATATCAAAAAAAGAAGCAGAACTGTTGGGTCGATACACTCGGGCAGGACTTTAAAAGGCATGGGAATTCCTTAGTATGATAAGGGATATTTGTTAGAACAGCCATTAGCCCATAGGAAGTAGCTACGGTATGATCAACTTTTTAATTATTTGTCTCTATTTTTTCATCTTGCCTGCCGGGCCTGGTAGATTACAAGTCTTATAAGCTGCCGGGGATATATAAGTCATTATTCATTTCCCACACAATTTGCCATAGTGTCGTGCGTGTAATTGTGAGGATGTGATCTCTGTGTAATGCTCATTCTTGGTATTTGGTCATTTATTTAAATTGCTATCCTCCCGTCTCTCCCTGTTCGGACTTGGGACTAAGATGCGCCAAAGCCCCCAACCACCTTTCAACTTGGCAACCACCCAGTATCATTATCTCTTCTCGAGAATATCGTTCTCCTGACTTAATTTCTCCTAGCCATTGTTACGCTCCTTTACATCCATCGAGTCAAGAGAAGAATCACTGAAACGTCATGCCAATCCCAACACGATCGCTATCAGTTCGTGAACCACAGAGAAAACAAGCGGTCAACGGAGACTCAACAGTATGCGCAAAACATTATGAAGCAAGCCTACAGCCCAAGCATAAGAGAATACGGACCCCTTTCAAGTTGAAATGACCAAGAAGACTGACTGAAATACCTTTCTGCGGAATAATAGTCGTCGTTGTCACCCATCAAACAATCACTGTTACCGCTCGGCAGTCGAAGCTCAGGGTCCAGACGACTAACCACCAGCTCGGAGATCTTACAATACGAAAGCAGTAGCGGACTTGGAATTACATATGGGAACGGAAACGGCGGTGGAAGCAACAATGGCATACCGGAGAAGAAGAGCTTTCTGCCCCAAAGGCGAACGATCCCTAGGCCGCAGAGTCTACAACTACCGCAGTCAACGGTACAAAGCGCGAGGTCAAGACAGCCGGGGGAGAGCCGATTAGAAGCTATTAAAACTACAAGGACTGCGCCGTTACCTTCTGAGAGTGCAAAATCACGTCCAAGTTCCAGAGCCAGGTCACCCACGAAGCCGAAACCAGAACTTAAACGAGCCCTGGCCAAACCTCCCAAATCTGCACCGCCGGCGAGACAAATGCGCTCCTCGTCACTGCTTCACCCAACTGCGCCAAAGCTAGTCAATATTGCTTCGCATGCGAGGCATCAAAGCCAGATAATCAATCTCGACACGGCAAAATCGAGGCCGCAGTCAAGTGGCAGACCTAGCTCGTACTACCCTCCTGGGTCAAAGCTAGCAGGTGCTCCATCACCAACATATCAAGCGCGGTTTGGTCTTAAGCCCTCCAAAAGCACTACAAACTCACCGGAGACGCTTTTTGAAAACCCCTCGCCTTCGCCCACCCCTCCCGAAGACCAACCGTCCCCAGAACAGACACTTGCATTACAAACAGAGCTTCTACAACTTCACGTTTTGCACTCACAGGGTCTTCAGACAAAAGCCAAATGGGAAGCTCATGCCGAAAGGCATTATAGGAAGCTGCACGAGTCGGTTAGGGCGAGTTATAGGCGGGAACAAGAGAGATATAAGTACCAGAATCTTCAAGCTGTCAAGAAGTTTGAAGAGAAATCTAGGAGCTCGAGTAGTGGACACGATTTTGATATTCAAATGGGGATACTCTCACGAGTTATCCAGGAGGTAACTCATCTTACAGAGTCAGAGGACAGCCAGTATAATACTGTCGTTGGAGTCTTCGAAGAATGGACCCAACATGTTGCCAAGCTCAAGCAGTGCAGGGAATTAAAGGATGATGGCGAGGTAAACAGAGATAAGCTTCTGTCAAACATTGACGAAGATGGGGAGCTGCAATTCATCGACCCCTTACCTCCACAATGGAAGGAGGACATTGCAGCGTTATCGGTGCAACTCTCCCAGCTGGCTGGTAACCTGGATGATCTGGACGTACCCAAGACGGCTGATACAGACAAGTTTGGCAGGCCAGTAGACTACTCTGATTCTGCTCTACTGAAGACTGTTACCGGGCATAAATCCCTGGTATCTTCGATGATCGAGGAGTTGGATATGATTTACAACATTGAAATGGAGATTATGGAATTCGAAATCTTGTGGATGGAGCGCGCACTGGAGAGTGTTGGGGGTATGACTGAGTTATGATGCGTCTATAGATGAATATGCCCAACTAATGATGTTATGGATATGACCATCACGCTGCTAGCTGCCTATGATATTCTGCACAATAATATAACGAATGGCACAAAGAAGTTACACTTTGCAGACTTGTAGAAGCTCGAGATTACATAATGAAGCCAAGATGATGAGGTCATTATTACGCACGTGATTTATTATCTAATCAACCTACAGGAGCTTGTGGGGTAAGTAGAAGAGACGACAGCGTCGAAAACCACGAATTTGGGAGCAATAACGAACAAACGAGAATCCATCCCGAACAATATTTCGAACGGCTGGTTTTGCGGACACGACGCAGAAGAGATCTTCCAGGGGCTGTCTACGACGAATTTGTAGGGAGACGCGAGATCTCGGTACCTTTCAGTGGCGTTCCAATTCTCCTAATAGCTCTACTTCGACGCATCTGGAAGTGGCCTCATTGACTCTTCTATAGCTTACTTCGAGCTTCTTTTTGCGTGCGTGGAGCTTCATATGATCCCAGACTGAAGCCTGAGGTTAAAATCCCTCCTTTGTTCCTAGAGAGAGTGGCAGAAGCCATTTCGAGAAGCTTTATATATCCGAATAAGCTTTAATTCAACATCAGCTCCGCGATTTTCAGGCCCTTGCCACTCACATATATACACCTTCTAACCGGATGGGAAGATTTTTCAGGACCACCGTGACGATCCTAAGCTCCGAATAAGTTGTGTGTACCAGCTTTAGGGAGCACAAAGTCCGGATAATGTTTGGCATACATCTTATTACGCATTGAACGTCTGAAAGAGGCATCCGACGATTCGACGATGAAATCATCACTGCATAAACGTATCCTTCTCCGGGAGCAGGGTGATAGTACGCTGTACTCCAGCATTCGTGGGTTTTACGGTGATAAGGCATGGATCGATGATCTGGATATAGTCAATGAACTGGGAGGCCATAACGGTTGCGTCAACGCCTTATCGTACGTTTGTGCAGTTTCCATCTATCTAAATATACTACAGTTGACGGAATTGCTAACGAAATATATCTAATAATAGATGGTCGAACTCTGGGAAACTTCTTGCTTCAGGCTCTGATGACAAGCATCTAAACATCTTCTCCTATCAACCTGAATCGACAGAAGCATCATTCTTCCTCAACACAACAATTGTTACTGGCCATTCAGCAAATATATTCTCTGTGAAGTTCATGCCACATTCGAATGATGGGACCCTGGTATCCTGCGCCGGTGATTCCGAAGTCCGTGTTTTTGATATCGAGTATCAAGGGAGATCTGCAGCTACAGAGACTCCTGCTATTCCCTCAGCTCGACAACGAAGGATTAATAATTTCTTCAGTGGAATGCGTTATTTGACAGAGAATAATACGAACTCCCGGGTATATCGGTCACATGCAGATCGAGTCAAACGAATTGTCACCGAGAATTCTCCTCATCATTTCCTCACTTGCTCCGAGGATGGGGAAGTTAGACAGTGGGATTTACGGCAGCCGTCGTCCGCATATCCATCTCCCCGTGGTGGTCAGGGCTTCATGGCTTTTAGGCCAGGCTTGAGACATGACGATTCCAACGTTCCGCCGCCATTGATATCTTACAAAAGGTACAATCTCGATTTGAACACCATATCCTGCTCTTCTAGTCAGCCACACTACATCGCGCTTGGAGGTGCCCATCTCCACTGCTTTCTACACGATAGACGGATGCTAGGTCGTGATTTACAAGCGGAACGTGGTCAGCCTGGAAGCCACAATCCCCCAAAATCTTGGTATGACAACGAGGTCATGGGGAAGGCTACACGTTGCGTAAAGAGATTTGCTCCGCGTGGCCAGAAAAAGATGAGAAGGAGGGATAACGGGCATATTACAGCTTGCAAAATTAGCAATGCAAACCCAAATGAGATGATTGTCAGCTGGTCAGGAGAACACATTTACAGCTTCGACTTAATCCGCAACGACGATGCATTGGACCATAAAGACGAGGACAACAGAGAATGTTTGGATGGCACAAGCACTGGAAGAGCTAAGAAATGCAAAAATAGGAAAAGAAAGCGAGGAAAAGCCAGATCCATCAGTTCTGCCAGCAGTGGATCCCGTCACCAATCCCGGCTTCGTCCTGGGAGTAACGAATCAGAAGACTTGGCTTTTAGAGTTCGTTACCGGAATGGCGAGCTCGAAGATATTCCTTTCGACTCACTTCCAGGAACAAGCCTAGCTGACACTCCACAGGAAGTTCTTGAGAGGGCACGTGAATCTGTTCTCAACGAGGCCCAGAAGTTGAGTCTTCGAATAGCCAAGGGGCTGGTTGAAGTTCGAAAAATGCTTTTTTCGGTAGATGCTTCCACTCGTGAGGCCGTCGAGGAACATTCGATGACTGAACCCACTCCATATACTTCATCATTTACTGCCATCCTTGGCCTTACAGCGACATATTTGCCCGAAATGGATGACGTGATAAGAAATTGGGGATACCCCTTAAACCCTACACATGGAGATGTTGTTTTTCAACAGGCTCTACGCAGTAACAGGGAGTCGTCTCGTCGTTTTATTCAAGCCTCTGGTACCTTAGCCAGGGCTCTTGGTGGTAGAATCCAAACAGCATCAGGTGGTGAGAGCCCACAGCTTCAACTTTTCCGTCAGATTGAACCAGCTCCTACTGAAAACGGAGTCATTGACAATAGCAGTCAATTTGGGTACGACTTCTTGAAAGCAATTGTACTCTGGCTTGAAGGAGGGAGACCATCCCTACTAGAAGGGTTTAAAGAGAGGCCTTCTGAACGTCGCAATGCTGCTAGATTCCCCATTCCACAATCTGCAACAGACGAGGCCATCGACACCATTCTGATACCATACTTGAAGGGATTGGCTGGGAATAATCCTATTGTGAACGTTGATACCTCGAGATTCGAGCTTGATGAATCTCGTGTGATATTTACCTCTCAATCTCATGCAGTGAATGCTTTTGCCCAGGCAATTAGACTGCCTTTAGAAGACCTTTCTGGCACAGCAATGTCATCAACTGACGGGGAAGAGATCTCAAGGGATAATTCTAACCTATCTGCCCTAGACCGCCGTGCTGCTACTCGATTCTGGGGTTTAAAGGTAGGGAGGGGTATTTTGATGGACGTTGGCGAGGGTGTTAACTTTGAATATGTCAATCGTGCCTTCGGTGGTCTTCGAGCTACGCTTGAAGAGGATGACGATGACGACGACGAAAGAGAAAGACTACAGGAGGACATCGATCCCAACGAGGAAGAAGAGGAAATATCTGAACTTCGCGTTATGAATAGACACTCACGCCACAATCGGCACTCACATCGAGAACCTATCTTCAGGAATGATGTCGAGGACCATGATATTCATAGCTCATCTGAAGAGGATGATGAAGAAGAGAGCAACGGTTCAGAGAGTGATAGTGATAGCAGCGACTACGACTCAGAGAACGAAAGGTTAAGGGAACATGATGATGAAGATGAATTTGGAATATCCACCCAGCTATCTTCAACGTGCCGTAACTCGGTAGAGTCACATGTTCCCTGCTCTTCTCATCTCAACGTTTACCAAGGCCATTGCAATGTGAAGACTGTTAAAGACGTTAACTATTTCGGTTTGGACGACGAATATGTTGTCAGTGGAAGCGATGACGGAAATGTCTTCATATGGGATCGAAAGACGTCGGATCTACTCAACATCCTCAATGGGGATAGTGATGTAGTCAATGTGGTCCAAGGTAAAAGAGCATCATTGCGACAGGAAATAAGGCTTTGGGATTGCTGCATATAGTAACTAAAAATACGTCTAGGTCATCCGTACGAACCCCTCCTCGCTGTTTCGGGAATTGACCAGACGATTAAGATATTCTCACCCGATAATCGAGCACAAGACGATGCTAGCAATGGCATCAACATTGCCGACCCTGATGCACAATCCGATCTAACTGTTGGTGTCGAGGGTGTATTAGACCAGACAAATATGAGAAGCCCCGGACTTGCAAGTAGAAAACGCTTGCGTGACAGCTACCAGATTCTAAGCCAGAATGATGTTAACCGCCAAGGGGGGATGAATGAGGCCTTTCTTACGGTACGTTTATTGCAACCCTTGACTATCCTTCGAAGAGGACTATCATTCGCCGAGTGGGCGGCGTTGTTCTAAAACAAAGGCCTATCCTACCACTTGACGCTACCATTCCATATGTGCTCGTACTTTACACGTTGATCTTGAAAGTAGCTCCGATACTTATCACGAATTTTCATAAAATTTAGAGAAGCATGCTCGCCCGTGTAGCAGCAACGCTCAGGGACAGACATAATGTTAGGCTTGGGTTTGCCGGCGCTCACACTGGGGGAGAAGAGCATCACATTGTGCTAGATGAGAACTGTTCTGTAAGTCAACCTTGCCTAGACGGCATCGCATTCACAGTTACTAATTGCTTGTGTTCATATAAATAGGTTATGTGATTAGCCACTCAAATGTCTCCCCAAGCAGCTACCAATTATTCTTAGCAATTCGAAATATATTTTATTCTCTGGCCTTTTTCTATACCCGTCCTCGCTACCTTTCCGATGTTATGGAAATGCATCGAACCGGCATCAGGTATATTTTACTACTGCCGTTTGTATACACTGGAGCTAGTTGCATAACTATTCAAGAACATTATTAGGAATCATTTGATAACTGGCAGCCAGCCATCTAGGCCAATAGCCACCTAAGGTACTTATTAAGGAGCTGGCTTTCTTATGTCAATGCTTATCATGGGCTATCTCTTATCCACAGAGCTTATGATGCCCAAAGCAGCCCAGGTGATGAAAGTGATCATCTAACAATCTCATGGGTCAACTCACCCCCTACAATGCCCTGGAGGGCCAGACCAATCACGTGACTCCTCAATTTTTCCATGCGGTGGCCACCGTAAGGTGATATGCCAGCCTCCAACTACAGATCCCGTCGATTTGCCTATATATCGTGCCATCTTCTAGCCAGAAGCTGTTGTTTGAGTATTTCTGTGCCTTCCGAAACTGTTCATGATATTTGTTTCGATATCTATCCCTTACCCCGCCAGAAAGCTCCAAGTACCACAGTTCAAGGGAATAGTAGCATGTCTCTACAGCAAAATGAGACATGTGGGCCAGATTTATTGAAAAGGCGCCGAGATTGCTCTTTGTTAATTCGCGTTGATCCCTATAATCCGATTCGCCATTTTCAACGCGGCTTAACATACCAGGCGCTTGGATTTCCCGACTTAGCTGCTGCTGATGCCTACCGCGCCCTTGCTTTATTCGATTCCGTAATTGACCCCGATACAAGCGAATATCCGGCTCGAAAACGAGTTGATTTGGAATCTTTTTCAGACTTGAGCTCTCTTGAGATTTTAGACGGAAGTGGAGGTAATAATCAGGATAATGGAAACCGCCGCGATGTTGAAAGCCCCGCATTCGAACCCCTTTCGGATAAGGAATATACCGAGCATATCTTTGAAGTTTACGAATTATTGGTGAAATCTCTTGCCCAATGTGGGTGTTTAAGGGATGCCTATGACATGTGTGTGCAGGCTATGAACTTAACTACAGACGGGGTTAAAGGGAAATCGCGAAACACAGAGCTACCATTATTACTCAACAAAGTTAAAGAAGCCGCCATTTCTAACGTGAATTCAACTGACTTTGATCCTATGACTCTTCCTACTCAAGGTCACGCCAGGCGATCATTATACCCATGGAACACTCACGAACCGGATCGAAACAAGCCAGAGATCGTAAAATATCTGAACGAACGGCTGGCCCAGGTAGCGCCCAAATGTGAGGTTCGTACAACAATTTTACCATCTTTGCACGAGAGTGTTGTGAATGGAAATTTACGCGAAGAAATAACTTTTCGAGGTGGTAACGTTTCTATCCAACTTGGCTTATTTGCGAAAGAAGACATTGCTCCAGGTGAGGTACTCTTGCATGAATCATCAATGTTAACGGCGACAAATCGACTGCATGATGATATATGCGACGCTTGTAATGGTCGCTTACCGGAACTCTCATCCTCTGAACCACCTGTTGCTTGCGAAGATTGCCATGATACTATATTCTGCAGTCAAACATGCCATGATCAAGCTCAGGAACTCTACCACGGTGCAATGTGTGGGCAAGATGGGCTAGAGTCTATAGGCAAAGATGTCCCAGATCCAAAAGATAAAGCCGATTATTTGTATCTTTTATTGCTCGAGCGTTCCATTGCAATGGCAGCCACTCAAGATATCCATCCTCTTGACCTCCCAGAAGTCAAATACATATGGGGTGATTTCTCCTCTTTGGATGGCAAAGGAGATGATACTTTTGATACAACTTTCACTAAACGACCAGCATCCGCTACATTACCGTTTTCTTTTCAGCTTAATATCGTCCAGCCTATGCGTATTCTGGATGAGATGGGGATTGATCCATTCAAATCATTAGATCGGTACGACACCTGGGTCTTAAATACCCTATATGCCAAATTCCGCGGGACTGCATCTGGTCGTCTATCTACATGGGATGGCGGTCCTGAAGTTTGTGCTGTACATCCTCTGTGGTGTTTGGCAAATCATAGCTGTGATCCAAATGTGCGATGGGAATGGGGTGGTGAGATCACGTTTACTGCTAGAACCGATGATGGTAGGGTCAAATGGGGTTCAGAATCCAGGTCTAGCAAGGGAGGTATCTCGAAAGGCGAAGAAATTCTAAATCACTATTGCGATGTTAGCCTTCCTGTTAAGAAAAGACGTGAATGGGCCATGGGCGCGTTGGGAGGGGCTTGTCTATGTGAACGTTGTATCTGGGAGGCTGCACAAACTTAGACACATGCATCTAGATTATACTAAATTACCAACAGTTACCCGTTGAACTTGTTTTTTGCACCGAGAGACTGTTACCTGGCCTTTACACCTCTTATAATTTATGACACCCACTCACCGCATTGGTGTTGTTCAGAGGAAACCAAGGCTACAAACTGCTTTACAATATACCATACCAAGAATTCCAACAGAGCAAACTAGATTTGTATTTTTAAGGTTTGGCTATCTAATTGCATTGCGCCCTACTTTATCACTCCTCCATTGCTTTTGTATCATCTCAGGCCCTTAAGGTTCCTTGGTGCCATTCTAGTTGTGGGCAACGTTCACGTTGATACGGCCGCCGTCAGAAAAGGAGATGATGTCACCGTTTCCAACACACTCGGTGTATCCGTAGTTGTAGCAGCAGTCAATGATTTCTTGGATTTTGTTGGCGACAGTAGCAGCATCAGTATAACTTTTTACTGAGGGATGATCACCGGTACGACGTAGTGTCAGTTTGGCGCTTCCATAGGTTGCAAATGTAGAGCCGCTTCTTCCAGAGACATGGTATTGCCCGCCGTATGCCTGAACAGCACCCTTAAGTCCAACTATATGATCTCCCTTGGTGCCTTTCTGGTAAACACAGCTAACGTTGCTCGCAAAGGCAGTGGAGACGTAGACCATAGCTATGATGGTAGCGGCGGTGAATTTCATTTTGTCGGTTGTTATTTCGGGAGTTCTACGCGATAGTTAGGATATGTGAAAAGATTTTGTTTCAGGGGGTGAGGTGTCTGTTCGTACATAGTGTGTATTCGGATATGGAGGTTTTACTTTTTACCGAACTGGAGATAATGATGAGAAAGAAGTTGTCAGATGAAGGGCCCGAATCTCTGCTTTTATAGACATTATCGAGGTACACCAACAACTATTGCTGAATGAGAGAACTAGTGTAAGGCTGTCAGTCAATGGATAAGCTATAACAAATAGCTACCAGGCGGACTAACTACTCCGACCCTGGCAAGCCATGATTTAATCTTAATCCACCAAGACTCAGTCGAGCGTTTGCTGGTTCACTATGGTGTCCCCCATTTACTCCCTAGCTAGACAAACCTTATACTTGTGGAGACAACAGGATCAAGCTTTGAGAGTCCGTGCCAACTCTAATGAGCTTAACTCGACTGCTTAACTATTGGAAGAAGAACCACCAACCTGCAAGGGTCGGAGTAAACCCCCGACGACAGTTGCAGAGAGGATGACTCTTCATATGTCACTTCTCCTACACAAAGAAAAGCTTGTTCACTTTGAAAGGGTTTCCAGCCCTATTCATTGATAGTATATTCATTAGGCAATAGGTATTGAATGAAATGTTGTGAATAGACATGTTATTAGCCTAGTGGTTTCTTCACTTCTAATCTATTCACTAATTATTTATTAAGACAGCGATATATAGCCAACTACATCGCCGAGAATTCTAAACCTAAGCATAACTAACAACCACTAACTAACCTTGAGTTGATACCGATAGCGACCAGAATGACCCACCCACCCTCTCTTGGGGCTATGCCTCTAGACATTCTATGCATGGTCTGTGAATGCCTTGTGGACTGTGACCCAAGCCAGAAAAGCTTATTTTCCTTCTCGTTAACAAGCAAATGGTGTAACATTGCAGCTGCGAGGCAGAGGTTTAGGCGCATCCCAATCTCCTTGGAAAGCAAGGAGAAATTAGCTGATGACATAGAGCGATGGAACCACACTCTAATCCCTCGTGGATACATTGACTATGTGCAGATCGTGAAGATAACCGGAAGTATCCGTATTCGAGATATGACTCCTAACAATGGAGAATGGCCACTCGGAGAAATGAGCCTTGGGTACCATGAAGCAGACGTTGAAAATGACGAGTGGGCCGCAGATTATGATGACCAGAGCGACAGTGATTCAACATGGGAATATGGCGATAGGAAGGTCTACTCTGATGTGACTCTATTTGGTGAAAATCCATACTTGACAAATGAAGAGAGGCTGTCCCAGGAGGCTGTTTGGAGCCCCTTTGTACACTTCATCAAGAGCCTGTCAGGCCTCAAAGACTTGATTTACGCCTCAGAAGACCAAATTCCGCTCTGCGTACTGTTAGAACTACACCAGCGTCACCCAAAGTGTCGCCTTCACATGCACCACTTTATCCTCCACAGCCTCTTTCAGCCGGCTGACTATCCCCAAGATATAAGCCTAGCGGAATATACCCTTGCGACATCTCCATGCTTATATACTATACGCGCACATCAGTCTGATTACGATATTCAGGGAAGAGTTTGCTATAACACTGAAGCAATTCTACAAATGGTGGCTGGTTTGGCACCAAACTTGAGACATGTATCCATGGCAGTCCCGAGCACTTTCATAAATACACAACACAACCCGAAACCAGCATGGCGTGGTTTTTTTATTAATGATCCACCAGAGCAAAATACCCCCAGGCCAGTTGGACAGCTCCGGAGTCTATCCTTCAAATTCATAGAGAGCTTAACCCCTTCCACACTCCGAAAGTGGACTCGCTACACAGATTTCTCTAAGCTGCAAACCCTTCGAATAATGAGCGATGATGGTATTGACATAGTCAGAATCCTTGATCAAATGGCAGTGGAGGGGAAGTTTAGTTCCCTCCGCTCTCTCAGCCTAAAATTATTTCTTTCCACGTACGCCGATACCATAATCTTTGACAGGATTATGGCTGATTTTCTACGAAACCTGCCTCCCCTCAAGGAATTGAGATTGACCGGCTTTGTCGCTGAACACACGTTCAATGTCATCCTTGAGAAACATGGTAATACCCTGCTTAAACTGGATTTTATTCCGTCTCGCGGGTTCATGACAGGAGCCAGTTTATTTGTCCTCTTCAATAGTGAGATTCGAGAGATTCAGAAGCAATGCCCGAACCTCCAGACGCTTGGCATTCTCATACCCCGTACCAACGGTAATAAGGACGAAGTAGATATCTACCGGACTTTGGGCATGCTTAAATGGTTAAAGCAATTGATCCTGAGGCTTGATTTTTCTAGCGTCATCCACTACAGGCATTCCTCGTCCACTGACCCCTGCATCGATAGCCTGTGTCTTGGTGACAATGCAGTAGCAACCTTGGATCAGATGCGTGAAACGTTTAAAAACTGCGCCATTGACGCAAACCTCGCGCTTTCCATATTCCGGATGATAGTTACTACCAACGGACTCAGATACCCTCCTAAATCCCCTTCGCTTCAATACCTTAAACTTCAGCCTTGGGGACACGGAGAATTCGGAAGTGGAGTATTCAACGGAGAACTTGGGGATATCACAAGATGGCTTGGTAGATCTTGGCTCTGTACGAGGCCACACGAGGATGTGAATTTCGAGAAAGTGGTTACAAGAGAGGTTGACAAGAAATGGCGGATGCTGTTTGAGCACAGAATCGAGGATATTTTTGCGTGGGGGAAGCACTTCTTTGAGCAATCCGAACAAGCTCGGTTTTATCAAAAGGTCTGGAAAAGTATCTGGCCTGGGCATACGGATGGAAGAAAATGGACGGATGATTGGTCAAGTTGCCCACTGCTGGAGGAATAGGTCCGCAACCAAGCGTTAACATTGAACGCACCCTTAATTCGAGGCATTTCAATCGTTCTCCGCTTCCCATATTTTTTACTCTTCCCGCTCTTCAGAAGCAGGGGATACAAAGGGCAACCAAAGACTTATACCTTTCAATAGTTATTATTCGTCATAGTCATCATCATCATCATCATCAAGTGAATGGAAACCTAGAAAAGGAAATGCATTGATGTTGGTTTGAACCTCCTCCCAAAGGATTATTTTGCATGTAAAAGTAGTTCTTCATAGAGTTCCGCAGGAATTTTTTGTACAACTAAAACGGTTAGAGCGATTGTTTCCTTTGCATCAATAGGCGGGAATGACCGGAGGATTTTGTTTGGACTACGTAAGATTTAGTAAATGTGCCTAAAATTGGAGTATTGGGGAAATGAAATATTTACCTCTGACTTGCCAAGATGATATCCCTCATCCGTATTAATTGTGCAACAATGCATAATATATTCAAATGCGGTCCGTAGGCGAAAAGAAAATCCCAAAGATGCAAAACCTCTGGTAGTGGGGGTGTACAGGCACACAGCGTAAGAACCGATGGGAATGCGTATAATTCGGCATGCATTCCTTTACTGAATAAGTGATTGGCTAACTTTGGCTCAACAACCTCTAGGCAACGATCCACTAGCTTGACTCCTTTGTGAACTCCATCCATGGTACTTTTGGCATACCCGGGACATTCACGGGTGATAAAATGGTGGAACAGCGCGAACGCTTCTACTTCGCTGCGTGATGCATAAAGGAACGGTGCGCATAAAACATTCATCCCCTGCACATATATTGCAGCGGAATCTGATGGGTTCGGACTTTGGCCATCAGTAGCGGCAGCATGGCCATCGGAGAGGAAAACAGATGAAGTTCTTCTCGAGTTTGACTGCTGTGAAGAAGAAAGCTGGCGCAAAGAAGTTCCGGTCTTGGAGTCATGTATCTTCCATGCTACAGCATTGAGCAATCGTATAAGACTTGCTTCGGTAACTCTCCGTTTAAATAATGGATCAGTGGCTAAGGTTCGAAATGTGTCATTACGGATCTTGGTATATGCCGGTGACCGACCCCGGTGGACAAGGGAGAGGTATTCGTCCGTTGGGAGAGGAGGTATATCGAGAAGGGTGAGCCAAATGTATATACGGTGAGTTGACTTCAATCATGAAATGTTAGCACAGTGACCATATATCCTCTTGGGATAATCAATTTCGCTTACCATCCCATCGTTATCTGCATCAACTCTCGTGGACAGGATCAGGTATCGCAACTCTTCAAGCCCAATCGCAATATTGTTATTTGGAGGGCCCTCTCTCAAGAGATTTTCAAGCCCGGAGCGCCTAGTGAGATAACCAATTGACCCTGATTTTCGATTGACGCTGGGTCGTTTGCGTGGTTGCGCAGTTCCAGGCGCAGCTCCAGTAACATCGCTATTAGACCTCCCACGGCCATGAGTTGTTGCAGGTGTTGTTGCGGCAGCTACTGGCTGCTCCGACGTCTGCTGTGCCGATGCCTCTCGGGTGTTAATGCTCGTTGTATTTCGGAAGATCGGAGGTCGGGAGCCTACGGCCGGGCTGCTCGAGTGTGTCGATAGTGTCTGGTGTGATTGGAATCTGCGTAATGTTCTAGCGGGTTGAGGTGGCTGCAGTCCGCCTGATACTGCGGGGACGCGAGGTTGGGATGGTTGAGGCATGCTGTCAGAAACGACAGACCCCGTTACCAGGGCCGTATAGTTAGGCGCCAGATAATGCCCTTGGAGCACGTATATGTGGGTGGCTTTCAATAACTAGTTAGTCGATATGCGAAGGGCTGGCGTGCAAGTCATGGGTTTTTCCCCTTTGACCCCTGCCCTGAAAACTGAAAACCAGCCTCATCGCGACTATTTTTGCCCAGCGCGTCGGGCGATCCAGCCAACTTTCTGGGGACGTTTCCAAGGTTCCAGTTTATAGTGGTCACGTGAGTGATTAGAGATCTTGGCACTATCAAGCTTATTTAGAGTTTAAAGGGGTGTGTTGGTACTGTTAAGAGCAAGGGGGAAGACGACTGCAACGACAGCGACAGAGCCGGGGAGGGGAAGGGAGAGGGGGTACTCTTAACAGAAGCGGGTGGTTGATGATCTATATAGGGCGAAGAAGCTTTAGATGTGAACACATCCTCGAGCCGGTTTGAGGTTCAGATACGTCATGAAAACGGCGCAAGACAGTGTGGTTCAGTCATTATATTATTCACAACTATAAACATTAACATCGACACTACCCAGCTGCCGATGCAATTAATACTATCACGTTATGGGAATTCACAGATGATACTTAGCTTTCTTTTGATTTTGATTTGTCTGCCTTTGGGTCTCCCGGGCCACCGGTTAAACTTCCAACAAACTCCTCATACCTGAACACCTCAGCTCGACTTCTCGACCCCGTAAGAGAAGAAGCTTTCCCTTTATTACCAAATGCGCGTCTGCCGGTGAATCCCTGTATGACTTCGTTTATTTCGCTCTCTGTCAACGGTCTCTCGTCTCCTTCAGGGCTGGTGTGAAGTAAAGCATCTCGAAGCTCTGCCAGGTCAATCTGACCACTGTCATCTTCGTCAAATGCTGCAAAGGCGTTAAGGAGCTCTTGAGGAGATGACAATGGTGCTAAATGGGTAGCGATCTGATTTAAGTAGGTTGGAAGGTTGATTGATCGCGGACCGTTTGGTGGAAAGTATGCACCTGTTGCCAAAGAAGATGAATCTTCACCTAAACACATACGGGTTAGCAAGACAAAATAGCCCGGATATAAATCAAACGTCAAAAAGTTGACCAACTAACCAAGGTTGCTCAAAGCATCAGCTACATCTTCCCTGTTTACTTGGCCGTCGTTATCTCGATCTAGTACTTGGAACGCCTCACGCATCTCCCGAAGCTGCGCCGGAGGTATCTTGCTCAGTAGATCGTTGTTTTTTGGCGACCGTTCAGGTGTTTTGGGTCTTCCCATGGCTGAAAATCGATCTTGAGCATTGGCTCCTTTTGTAGGTGAAAGTTGCGGCGACCTGGGGCCAGGGGAGGATCGTAGCCCATTGCTACCGTTCGTAAATATATCTCCATTCTCTCTTTCCAGTGCTTGAAAATGGCTCAATTTGCTAGGAGAATGTGTCGGGGTGGTTCCTCTGCTACTCGGGCTTCCGGGTATATTTGGCAGGATCACCGGTCCAGGTGATGAAGGGGGCGGCGAGGAGACAAACGACTGGCGCCGGAAGGGAGAGGAACGGGGGGATCCAAAGGAGAGAGGCGACGGCTTATATGGCGTTGTGTTCGGCGTACCCTGCAGTCGTTGTCAGTATATAATGACTTTGACTATCAGCACCAGTTAAGCCTACCATTCTTCCTTTCTGCTTTGACTAGGAGTAATTATTAACAAGTGACGGGGTTGGTAATCAAATATTAGTCGTATAATTATTGGTGCTGTGGTCGCCTCAATTCTTGTTGCTTGCGGTTCGCTTGCTTCGATATTATCGTGCCTTTGATAAGCCCCAAGTCATGATGTAACTACTATCCGGAAGCCCAAAGCGGAAATCAACAAACATTGGGCCGGGATAAATGATTTCCCTTATCCGGGCGCAAAAATGTTGTTCCAGTCCACGTTTGTCTTAGTCATCAACACCACGTGAAGGCGCCAGGTCAGCCAATCCCCAACCCTGCTGTTCGCCTCGATAGCCGCGAGTACAAGAGAAACCAAGAAAAAGGGACCCTCTGCTTGTCAATGGCGCATCGCATGGAGCGAGAGAGAGAAAGCTGTTCCTGGGACGTCCCTAAATGTTCCTTGATCCGCGCATGCTTCTGATGGATTGATAGCCAACACTCGATAAGCGCATTGCGTCAATAGCGAGGTATGTTGAAATACGTTGACTTACTGCGCCCAAGGTGACTGCCATGAGATTGACCATATTGCTCTACTATAGAATGCAATTTCTCGTTTCTGCCCGCTTAATCCTCTGATTATACCACCAATATTCAATCATGGCGAACTCCTTGGCCAGACGGCCTTCCACCAACGGCTCTTCCCACGACCGAGGCACTTCATTCACCTCCATCCCACCCTCATCTATATCCCCGCATCAGTCCGTTTCCCTTGGACCTAGGAAGAACCGATCGCAGACATCTCTCAGTCACAAATCAATTGGAAGCTCTGGAGAATCCTCACAGCGGCGATCTGTACATTCCTATGGCAGTTTTCAGGCGCAGAAACGGAGGTACAAGTCGCAGTACCCCGCTGACTCTCCGGAACCGCATGTCGAGTACATTCTCGTTGCCTCGTTTGATGTAGACCGGGGGCCTATTATGGAGCATCAGTATCCTAGTGCGATAAGTGGTGATGAGAGCATGCTGGCAGAGCTCATGCTACCTGATCAAACACATGTTCGCAGCCAGGATTGGACGATCTTCTTTTTGCACAAGGATAATGGTGGGCCTGAAGAAGATCCTGAATTTGGGGAAGATAAGGACGGGGATGACGAGCAAGACGAAGAAAAAAATCAAGATGACCTATCTCAAGAGTATCCGGAGGAAGACGATGCCGGAAGTGCGGGCATGGATGACGAACCACCCCTGATGTACGTCCTGAATCTTGTGAATACAAAACAGGACACATCAGTTAAACGGTATTGTCAACCACATTATGCGTTTTATCTATGAGTTGATATACTGACAGATACAGTGGTGCAATGGTTAAAGCAATGGCAATATGCACAAGGCACTCCTTTCTGCATATATACAAGGTTCGTTCTCCGCAGTTGGCTACAGTCGGACCTCCACTAACGAATTACCATAGCCACTGCTACTCCTTGCCTTAGAAGACTATTTCAAACACCCGTTCCCGGAAACCCTGGCCAAATTATATGACTCCCTTAATGCTATGGATCTTTCACTGATGCCGTGTCTTTCATACCTTGAACGACACATACTCCAGTCAACTGAGACAAAAGATCTCTTTGTGGAAAATTTCGAAAGGATGATTAAACAGAGGCTTGCAGACGAACGAGCAGAGCTCGAACGTCAAGGCATTGATCCTCAAAAGGCTGGGCCTCCATCCCGATATACCGTACCTCGAGACACTCATGAGTTTGAATCTAAGATCGTCTACAACGACATTGCAATTCCGGTCAAGGTCCCTACAGCAATCTCTCCAGAAACCGTGGGTGATTTTTCCTTGGTCAAACTTATACAGACATTTGCGGGTCCCCATGCTGCCTCCCCACAACCTTTTGCTCTACATCCCCACCTAACAAGCAGCGGACCTTTCACACATCCCATAATTGTGCTGGTAAATGCTCTGCTCACTCAGAAACGTGTTATATTCCTGGGGCATAATCGGCCATCTGGGGAGGTTGCTGAAGCTGTCCTTGCAACATGTGCCCTTGCTTCAGGAGGAACACTACGGGGGTTCACTCGCCACGCCTTTCCATACACGGACTTGACTAAAATTGATGAGCTTATTAAAGTTCCTGGTTTTGTGGCCGGTGTCACAAATCCGACATTTGCTAACCATCATGAATGGTGGGATCTTCTTTGTGACCTCCCTAGCGGACGGATGAAGATTAGCAACCGTGTTGAGGCTGCTCCTGTAACAGAAGGGATGCAGTATTTCCAACCACAGAACCAAAACTCCTCATCATCTCTACTCGGCAGCTCCTCCAACCCTCCGGACCTTACTGGCGATGTGCAGTTTATGGATGATATCCTTAAGAGCATAGCTTCACGACATAGTGAAGGTGTTATCCGAGCCAAATGGCGTGCCTATATCAACAAATTCACAAGAATATCTGCCACCTTTGAGGAGATAGTCTACGGGGCAACTGCTCTTGATATAGTGGGGCCTGATGAGTCCCCGCAAGATTCATCTCCAATGCGTGAACGCTCGGGGGAATCAACTCTACGTGGACACGGATACGTTTGGGTCGATGAAGCCACCAAACAACGTGAACTTGCCGCTTGGGTACCGCGAATTGAAGGGTGGAGAAACACCCGGTCATATTACTACTTTATTCAAGACACTGCAACAATGCATCTTGTTGGAAAGCCATTGAAGGGTTTAGATGTCCAACATCATCATGATCGACTACGGACACTCAAGCTCAGTGATGTGGATGCTAAGGCAGTATATGTTGCATTTTCGAAATCCATCAAAGATTACAATTCTATATGCCAACTTCTTTCAGTTATACCCGAAACACAGGCCGGGCTCTTCTATCTCTCTATGGGCCTCTTTCACAATGACTCGGTAGTTCGCAATGCTACAGTTGATTTACTTGATAGAATATCTGTTCATGAAGCTGGTCGGCATTTCTGGGCTCAGCTCAGTCGTTTTGCAAGGCTAGCTTACTATCGAATCAAGCGCGACAAAGAAAGGGAAGTAGCTAGCCCCTTATCCTCCCCTTTTGATGACAACACGTCACATAGCATAGTCGGGGTGGCCGTGAGCCATACTTCAGTTGGAACCAAAAAAGGAGTTCGACGAAGCTGAGGAAAAAATAAAAAAGGAAAAACAAAAAAAAGAAGGCATGTTTAATGAATAGTTTTTGTGTTTGTTCCAATATTTACGAGGCACATAATTTCTCAATTTTGAAGCATCTATCTTCCCTCAAACTACTACCCTTCCACAACACCCTGGTTTTGGTTACCCATCCCGCCATGTATTCATAGTGAGACTACGCCCTGTCATCTTTGAGTTATGATCACCATTTGTATATCAACGTCAAAATACTACGGAAGCAGGTGTGCTTGATTCTTATCTAGCACCAAAAGTTGATTATGACAATATCAATGCTCAATCCTGACAAGTTCCGATTGGTATGCGATCAGCAGACACCTAGGGCGCTATACACTATTATTTGATAGAGTGGATAGCCGCCGTTACCGCAGCTATAGCAACCTCTAAGTGTTATTCTAGTAAAATGCCGATTGAAAAGCCTGATGTGATAATAAAATGTAACAAGACTATAGAGTGATAGCTAGGAAATCAATGTAAAATGTAATTCCTCCGGCAATAGACACCAGGGGTCTCAAAATTCTAGCTTTCAATGTGACCGGACAGGAAAGCGATTTAGTGTACCCGATAGCTATTGGATAAGGGTTAACGCCCTTTCACATTCAGTGCACCCTCCCACTCTAGCGTTCACAAAACTCAACATACCATGTACCCTGCAACGTGTTAAACCGGCTATTGCCCTTGCAGCTTACCGCTCATTCATTATGAACGTCTCTGCTAGGCCTTGGTCATGCCAACACTCCGTGGGTCTGACAGACAGCACTGTCACAATAACGCCACATTCAGGCCCGCCCAGCCGTGATGAGATAGAATCAAGTTCTTAACACGGTACTCCGTACTTGATCTTTCTCGGCATCTGTCTTGCCTCCATAGCCGGTTCATAACCGAAACACTCACAAGCAAAGCGGGTGGCTGCAGTCGGTTTGTCCTCCCCAGCTATCATTAACTGGCCCAAGAGTCAAGCCCAAAGCCATTGCCGTAGGTGAACGGGAGATGATAGGGTATCAAGGTAAGCTCTTTTCTCTTGCTTTAATTCTAAACCCTCGTCTTCTCCAACATTCCAGGAACGGTTAATCTTTCCCTTAGACTTCGTACTATATCGTTATCCTGGGACCAATTAACTTCAATCAAGCAAAATAAAATAACAGGTGGCGACCTTTTTCTTTTCTTTTCTCATTTTTTTTTTTTTTTTTCCCTTTGCAAGGGGAAAGGCAAACGCCACCTGCTTTTGTACCTAAACAGTTGAAGTCGAGGCCCCAGTGGAAGAGATTAAACCAAATGATTTCCGATATCAGGAAAATATAGGGTGAGTTGTTAACGATCAGGGGTTGAGTGTAGAATGGAAACAGGCAAAGCTGAATGTACGGATTGCACGGGGGATATATGTTAGCCAGGTGGTTCACAGTACTGAATCGGCTCTGTAGGGCCTATGGGGAGTGTTCCGTACCAGAACATAGTATCGACTATCAAATAGTTGACCTTCCAATCTAGCGTAGCAGCACCGCAAATAATGCAGGTCGCGTCGACGCTTAACTAGTCAATTGGGTCCCCTTGTCTGCCTTTTTTCTTTAATTGTATTTCTTGGGCTACCTCCCCCATCCTTTTTATCATGATATTTATTCCTTCTATCACCACTTCCCACTCGATCTTGTGTATTCTCTCCTTGAGTGCCTCCAGATCTTCATCCACACCCTTTATAAATGGGATCTCGCGTATCAGGATTGGCTCGCCCATATCAACCTCTGCAATGACTTTATGTATCATGACTCCTGTCTTATTAACTTTGCCTTCTAGCCATGCTTCTTGGGCGCGTTCAATGGCATGCTACCGTCCGGAATTAGAACATTAAGCAATCATAGTTAGAAAAAAGGCCCATGTGGGAAGCCTCCTAACTTACAGTTCCGTTGAATGCGCCCGGCAGCGCGGGGTGCAGATTTATAGTATCTAAGCCTGCCTTTGCCATTGGATCCAGAAACTTCTTTGATAGCACATACATAAACCCTAGACAGACAACAAGGTCAGGCTTATCGTCCAGTACTATCCGTGCCAACGCGGTGTCATATTCCTCCCGAGCTTTCTTTACACCATCTTCCGTGTTCGGGTGTTTTTTCTTGTATGTTAGTAGGTTATGGTATACGGTAGGTATGCCGGCTTTCTTTGCCCGCTCGAGGCCATATGCGTCTTTTCGGTTCGACAGTACTCGCACGACTGTTGCGGGGAGAGTTTTGGCGTCAATGGCATCGATCACGGCTTGGAGGTTAGTGCCGCTGCCGGAGATGAGGACTGTGAGGCGCGGAGGGGAATCCATTCTATCTTCAGTGGCCTCTTACAGGTCGAGTCTTAGATATCGCAAATAATGAAAACTTCCAATATTAATCAAAAAAATGCGCTTCGACATTTTTGACCCCGCCAGTGTTTATCTGGAGATTATATAAGAATTATATCACGTGTTGATTATGTAATATGTTAGTCATTAAGTGCGCTTTCGCTTATTTTTCTTTCCACAAAAAACGATCTTTTTTTTATTCTGTTTCTTCCTTTCGTTTGACCCAGCAAGCATCAACAACTTCCAGTCAACACGGCCTTCTTTCGACTACGAGGACAGACAGCAGACATCCGTCGCAATGGCTAAGGCTAAGAAGACCACTGATACCCTCTCCTCGCGCCTTGCGCTTGTGATGAAGTCCGGCAAGGGTATGTTGCTGCGCCTCGGGAGGTGTGAGAAGATGTCTATGCGGAATGTTAACGAGATCAATCATGACAGTCACTATGGGATCCAAATCTACCCTCAAGACCCTCCGCTCTGGCAAGGCCAAGCTCATCCTCATTGCTGGAAACTGCCCACCTCTGCGCAAGTCGGAGCTCGAGTGTAAGTCATCATCAGACCGGCGAAAATATAAAGACCTGACGCTGACCGATTGCGTATACAGACTATGCTATGCTTGCTAAGGTCCCAGTCCACCACTTCCACGGAAACAACGTAAGTACTCAATCGCCTATATCTCCTTGTTTGAAGCCAAAAAAAAAAAAAAAAAAAAAAAAAAAGGGAAAACCCTGGAAAAAAGTGAAGTACTCGATGCGCGTATTCGCTCAGAATACGTGTGTGGGGGAAAATTCGCAATAAGACAGCTCTATCTTCTCCATTTGCTCTGCGAAGAAGTTACACGTAGTGGACTATCTCTATGGTGACTTTGGAGAGTAGTTGCTCTGAGAAGGGATTTCCCTCCCGCATGTTATTTTTGTATACCATGTGCTGGGATATTGCTGGAGAGCTTGGCTAACTGCTTGGAACGCTGTTTACGTTCGCCCGTATAGATTGAACTTGGAACTGCCTGCGGTAAACTTTTCCGCTGCTCTACCATGGCCATCCTCGATGCTGGTGACTCCGACATCTTGACCCGTGAGGCATAGATGTGCATTGATGTGCGCTGATGTGCTTAGTGCTCATGGCTGCTATGACCAACGCTAAAGAAACCTCACGCCTGGCTAGGCTGGGGGCGGGAGGGATGAAGGAAGAAAGAAGAAAATATCGGCTGGCGTGCATCGTTTAGTTGTCAAGTTGAGTCGAATGCCCAAGGAGGGATAAGAGTAGCGCTTCATCAGCTACTCTCGGCTCTGCCCTGCTCTGCTCTGCCCGTGCACTGCTCTCTCTCTCTCTCCTTTGCCCGCAGCCTGCTCTGTATTAGTAGCCCTTCTCCAGCACTGAGCGGACCAAAAAAAAGAAAGAACAAAAAACGATACAAAAAGTTATCCAAGCTCCAGCGTTGCAGACGTCTTTTCCTTTTTTGCTGACCTTGCGTCTTGGACCGGGAAGGGTCTGTTAGCGATGGTGCTGCTCTCCCATGCCATGCTCTGCTCCCACCTTGGGGGTTCAAACTGAAGCAAGGGGCTCATGAGGTTATGATAAATGATTATATTTAGATACCAATCAACGGTTTCCACAAGCGATCAGCTGATCATGTCATCTCGCTCAACCCCTTCGCTGCTTGTAGGATGCTTGAAGCTGTCGTAGAACTATGCATGTACAACGGAGCTAGGAGCTGGCTACCATGTCTCTGTAGTTTTACTTAGGCGATAGATAAGACTTGTCCGGCGCTGGCCATCGTACATTTGGGCAGAGGATGGATGGATGGATGGACTAGTGCAGGCGCTGACAAGAACAGAGTCATCAGTAGCTACACGAAGATGACGACGCCGCTACTTTTTTTGATCATCCGCTGCTGCTGCTGCGTCTTCCTTTCTTTTTTACCCGAAAAAGGCCGAGAAGGCGAAGGAGCCGGTCACCGCATTGTCTGCACCGAGGGAGAAAGCATTGTCGTACGGCAGGCAGACACATTATACATACCTAAGTAGGGGGGTTGTCTGTATCTGCCCGTACTCTGCCTCCTCGCTGTACGACCAAATGCCCTCTTGTAACCACGGCACCACGCAGATGCCGATGATTAATCCTCGCCTCGGAAAAGCTGCATTTTCGAGGCTGAAACGGCTGGTCAACTTGTCCATCCAGGCATCGGCCCGGCTAGTTAGTGCCATGCGCCCTGCAAAGCCACGGCTAAACGGAAGAGGCATATGAACCTCTCTTCAAAAAAAAAAAAAAATCCCAAGAGTTACATCGCTAGAGAATATCAAGCTTAAGGCTGGGCTGGGCTGGGCGGTGCCTTCTCCCCCGGAGTTGACCGGCCTTCGCAGGGCATATCTTCGCCGACAAATAGTCCGAATAGGCTGCTATCACATACGTTCTTTTTCATTTTTCAATTCCTCAATTCTCAGATTGTGGATGGCCCGAATTATTTGGCTTCTCTCCTGCAAGCGAAAGGGGAGTCCAAAAAAAAAGGCCCCTCTCGTCCTGACAAGTTGGCGAACCTGATTTAAACACGGAGAATGAACCACGGAGATCCTCCAGCAGCCTTATCCTGGCCTGGGCCGGGCCTTGGGGCCTTACTGAGGGGCCTTCAGTCTGGGGCATGGGTCTGGCTCAAACCCACGCTATATCCAACCGTTGGAAAAGGGCTGGGGGGATGGATGGGCTCAGGAGCAAGGCGCAAAGAAAATAAGGGTTGCCGCCACGTTTTGAGAAAGCCAGATAATTGGGTCCCTATTCTTCTCTCTCGAGGAAAATATTCCCATTCCTGGCAGTCTGTTTATATATCCTTCTGGGGCATCGAAGTCCTTTTTGCAAGCTAGCTTTTGCCTTTGCAGGGTGGGACGCCTTGATATAAGTTGGTTTTCATTGAGTTCGATTGCTTCGCTTATTGCCCGCCGCGCGTGGGAGTTATTAATGAAATTTCTTCACGCGGCAGCTTGTGCTGGATGCTCTCCCGCTGCCTTCTTTTTGGACCTCGCTGGCTTGCCGGCGTGTCCTAAAAAAGATATGGCCAAGCAGGCCCAGCAGTCGTGGGAGACGGTGGCGCTGGGCTTTCCCAGATATTCATGCCGTATTCATACGGCCTGGGGCGCCCGTTTGCTTAGCTCGCCAAAAAAGATGGAGAAGAAGCAAAGAAGGCCGCTTCTACTTTTTTTTTTCCCCCTCCCTCTTGCTTCATTTTTTAATCACATTTTTGTTGGATCAATAGTTGGGTTCGTCCCTTTTTTTGGGTTCCTGTTCCTGCGGCAATGGGCTGGCTAGTTCCTGAGGCGTTGGGAGTCGATTGACTAGTTGAGGACGAAATTTGCAAATGCACCGGCCATGGCTGGTGCAATGTGTCATGAAGAGAGAGAAAAAGAAAAGGAAGTGGACTGATTTATTAAATTGACCGAGTTGATTAATGATCACTCGCCTCAACGCCGAACAAGCGAAGAAAAGACAGACGATGCCACGAGTGGATGGAGCAGCAGGCAAGGGAAGGGGACGGGAATCGGGGGCCGAGGCGAGTTATTATCTCGAATCCTCTCCATGCTCAGCTTCTTGTCTGGGGGTCTCCTCTGTGCTCCGTGTAGCTGGTTACCCTTCTGGGTGATTTTTCCTGTTTTATTGTAATTTTATTCTTATGGCAGGAAACAAGACGACGGATGGAGGATATGCATCTTCGCTTTGCTGGTGCCATGTATCCTGCCACCCCCTGGGGAATCTCCCGCTGCTGGCCATGATGCATAATTTGCGGGAGGGGTGCATAATGCATGGGAGGGGCTGTTTTGGTAGGTGATGAGTTGGCAGTAACGATATATTAATAAATATACGTCTGGGTGGGCGGAGATGTTCTAACCCCAGCAATTTCGAATGCCACTCCAGAGTATATTTTTATAATTTTTTGCCTTGTATGTACTCTAGTTAAGTCATTCTCGCTGGATCATCCCCCAGAGTTGGAGCGGAGTGGCATCTCCATGTCCCCCCCATCATACATACTCCCAGGTCAGGTCGACAGCAACCACCCCCGCGAAGCGCCGGCCGGGGAACGTGGATATCCCATCCGATCGTAAATGCAAATCCTGACCTGGTAATCATCGACATAAGAGAGAGGAGATGACGGAATTCGAACTCCAAATTCCCTCTCTGACCATTAAAATTACCGGATATCTCTCTTGTCTAGAGGACCTGATCTACAAACTCCGACTGATGACCTGCTCCGCAGAATACGATTATCGCCGTAGGGCCTATTTGCTCTGTAATCTCATATAGGGCGGGTATGGAGGTGCTAGTAAGTGCTAACATTGCTAGCGGCGCTATACAGGCGAGGGGCACTGGAGAACTTGGTGGTAGCCGCAGCTTATCTCTCCTTCCCCTTCTCCCCCTGTTAACCGGAATCACTATATATTGGCATGTATGCAAATACATCTTCAGGCGAAGATACATCCAGGTTACCCTGCATCCTGAAGACTTTTTGCTCTTTGCAAAATAATTGCCGATGCATCTAATAATAAAAACGTATCTGTCGATCAGTCAGACCACACAGGCCAGCAGAGGTCACGGTCCGCTTCCCACTCAACCATATTCCGTGTCATGGCCCCCTTATTCCTTTTTCCCTTTTTGTTTTCTTCCTCTTTGCTGGTCGGCAATTGAAGAGGATCATGGCTGGTGGTACACGGATGAATTCTGCGTCCTTTGTCCTAGATAGGCAACCAGCGTCGCCCGGCCCGAGCGAACTATGGACGGGCAGCGCGTTAGTTTGTCTAGCAGCATCGTGAACTCCCTAGCATGAAGTAAAAAAGCAAGCAAGCATAGTTAGGGGAAGAAAAAAAAAGCAACAATCGATAGATGTCGATAACTCGAGAGAGATCGCAGTGTCTGCGAGCCTCCATCGGACTTGATTCAAAAAGTGCCCTGCTCGATCTGCTTGCGTGCTCGACTCTCTGGCGAGTCAGGGAACAGGCGATGGCCTGGGGATAACGTCACTCTGCAGTGGCTGGGACTGTATGCATGCATGCATGTCTGTATATAGTGCATGTGTGGTATTTTTGGGGGCTTTTTGATATGCATATTTGAGTGTTTCTGCTCAGGGGAACACGACGTGCTTGCGTGTTTATGTATGCACACTGCCCGTACTCTGAAGTCAAGCAAGAGGCAGGATATATCGACATGCATGGTATATACGTCGCATGTTGTGCATTGTCATGATCCCGGATATAATCACAGCCGCGATCTCCTCGGTGCAGCCAACCCCTGGGCGTAGTTTAGTTGACGATAGACACAAGACCACTCTAGCCATCGGCCTCGCCAGCAGCATCAACGGTCTTGCTCCGACGAGATCGATAGGGCCGACGATTAAGCGCAGCCCTGGACGTCCTGCTGATGCTCTAGTCGAGTAGTGACCGTCGCCTTTTCCCACTTCCCGCGTTCCCCCTTTACGAAACCGATGCCTGATCCGTCCGGCGGACCGGGGGGAGGAAGAAGAAGCATGGCCGACAAGCTCGTTTCATCCACCCGCCTGGATTAATGATCGCGTTCGTGTCTCCCCTTCAGCCGGCCAGCCAGCGAGCGAGCCCATGCGAACAGCTTTGTTGGGCTGTCCTGGCTGCCTGTTGCGCCGGAGCTTCCATGCAGGCTGGCCGCTGCAGCGGGAGAACAGTTATAACACTGAGATATCAAAAAGCGACCTTCAAAAGAAAAAAGAAGTGAGACGACGACAGCCGTGTCTAGACAGCAGTGAAACTGCCCATCAGTAGCCTGTCAAACCGCATATACACTGCCGGCTGCCAACTTGGCCATGCCAACCCCATCGCGACAGTGGCAACGCTGTATATGTATGTATGTAACTAGTCGCAACGGGGCGCTGGCAAGCCAACAAACACATGCATCGACAGGGCCGGCAGCGCAACCAGCCTGCTGCTGCTGCTGCTGCTGCATAACATCGCAATCCCCGAGTCAGTGGGCCAAAAAGAAAGCAAGCCAAACCAGTTCGTGGCCCCCCTTAGCACGGCTGCTTTCTTTTCCTAGCAGCCGATCGAAGCTGGCTCGACGGCGTATATTTGTCACTACTATTACCATATATCGCTGCCAGAGCTATATGGCATGCCCCTTTCGGACATGGGCGTTCAGGTTCAGGCCCGGATCGGCTCAGCCGTGGCATACGAGTGCCATAGACATAGACATGCAGATGATACATTCCATCCCCCCAGCAAACAGCCATACATGGGACTCGCCAGCCAGCCAGCCAGACACCTGCAAGCCATTGCAAAAAGGAACCAAAAGACAGCTATGAAAATGAATGACAGCTGCCTAGCTAGCCCTCTTGCTTGTCTGTCCATCGGACCAGGCGTCGTGACTCAGTGTCTCGTCCGCTACTTATCTATGGAGCCTCCGAGGGCTTTGCTGCCTATAGTACAAAACATCCACAACGGCGGCCTTATATTCTTCTTCTGCCCTGATAGTGGATTCTTCCGGATTCCTCCCCCCTCCCCCTTGCTGCCCGGCTAGACGCTTCCACGAGCCACGTCTTCCGTTTGTTCCATCTCGAAATCTGAAGTTGAAACAGAAAGTGCCCTTTAATTCCGCGGTGTTTGACCCTGGGCCTTTTTACTTTCTCTCTTTCCTTTCTTTTCTTTTTATTATTTTGGCTTTTGGCTTTTGGGCTCCCAGTCGTTGCTTTTTCCTGCCAGTGGAAGAGTGTGGCTCAGCTTGCCGTCTCGTCCTGGGTCGTCCGTCTTTCCTTTTTTTTTTTGCAAGCTGCGACTTTTGGGCTGGCTGTCTTTTTTGCAAAATTGGCTGAACCGAAGCCTGGCCGCCTGAATACAACCAGCTGGGCGAGAGAGAAAAAGCAACGAAAAGGACAGAAAATCATCCCTACAGCGCACGGTGGAGGGAGTGCAGAAGTCTCCCCTGGTATTGCTTTTTCCGCAGCTTTTCATCCTCCGGCTCGGAGAAGGCTTTTTTTTTTTTTTTTTTCTGATATATAACCATCTTCTTGTCCCTTCGCTCTGGACTCTCTCTCTGCTCTTACCTACGACTTCTCACACATTCACACAGAAGAGAAAGAAGTCTTGGGATCACTCTCTACGCCGGCCGTACATAGGAACAAGCACTTTTCACTCTTGCTTCTCCCTGCATAACAACAACGCCTACCAACAGCCCTCCGGCGTGCTCCGGCAATACGCAGGCAACCGTCAAATTTGAACAGAGTCACCATGTCTTCTTCAGCAGTCCCTCGCCAAGCACCTGGCACCTCTACAGCCACCATGTCCACCCCTGGATCTACATATGCTACCTTTGACGCAGTCCGATGCTCCAGATGCCAGCTCTCCCTGAGCTCACCCGGTTCTAAGTCAGTCCAATTCGGTGTCAACTGCTACTACTGCAACCGATGTGCCACCATGGTCGGGTTCATACGATGAAAGCGAAACCGGAAGCAGTATACCAGACCAGTCCACGAATGAGATACGATGCCCTTCCTTAATGGAAAAAAAAGGATACACAGGTTACAACATCACCGCAATTCCACCATGTCACGGACGGAGCCTTTCAGGATGCGACCATAGTCACCCATTGTACCAAAATACCTACGATGGTACTCGCAGGAGATACAGACATTCTCTTACACGCACAGATTGCATTTGACCAACTCCCGAGTCATACTTGCTACTGTCTGCAAATCGACGAGTCAGCCATCTAGTAACCTTTTGACTTCCCACCAGAGGGAGAGAAAAAACTTAACCACAAATACATACGTGGAGAAAGCGGCTCCACGCCACGTTCTCAAGTTCTCGACCAAAGGAGGAGGGGAAAAGGCGAACCAGGCAATCAATAAGCCAAACAGCCAACCAACTGTCACCTCACCATCACCTCACCATCTTTTCCTTCCCTCCCGCCCCTCCCAAAACAGGCTTGAAACGGCCTCGATTCTAGCTTCTCCGGAAAACAAAATTAAGAAGGGATCAGTTGCCGCCCGACCCACCGTCCATCAATCATGCTGTTCTCGTGTGGAGCTCTCGAGCCAGACACAACGGCGCTTTCGCCTCCTTCCCCCTCCCCCTATTCTTGCCCTCCCCTTTTCCCTTCCGATTACCCCCACCATTATTCGCCTATTCAACCATGTGTATTATATAGATATATCTTCCTATGATCACCAATAATAACCCCCCTGGGTCTTTATTTATCTTTGTGCCGAGTTGCTGGCAGCTTAGCGTCTCTCCTATCATACTACTTTGCTACCTGCTAAGTTCATTGAATTTTAAGTTAGCATTTAATCTACTTAATTTAATTTCCAACATCATATTCGAGTCTCATATCTCGTTGATTTCTGTGCTGTCTAGAGCAATAGTACCGGTCAATACGGGGGACGCTTGGACATGAAGCCCCAGTCGCCTGAGCTGTATCCATGGTAGGTAGAGAAGGTTACCTTTATGGCCATTGACCTCCTTCGAGGCCAGCCGCCCAGATGGACTGGTCTGGCTCTGGCGGCCTTGACACAACCCTGGTTGGCTCTGTCTTGTCTAGATGTGTCGGAAACTCTGAAGCCAGATTATATAATATGGGAATCTTTTCCGTTTTTCCTCCCAAAGCCGCTCGATGTAACTATGTAACTAACTTGCTACCAGATTTCTTCCCCTCGGGGCTGGTGAGTCTCTAGCGAAGGCTGACAAGCCACACTGATCGTCACCACTTGCTCGAGCTTGTTCGTTATTTGCCTCCCCTCCTTTTTTGCTTGTGGCTGTCGGTGTCTGCCATCTCTGTTCAGCTCACCGGCTAATGGCCAGCCCGCTCTGGACCTCTTGCTTGCTTTGCTTCAACGGCAACTCCTTACCCGGCCTATGTAACCCGGTTATGCTTCAAGTTGCCTTTTGGAAATTCAACTCACATTTACTCTGCAGAGGTGTAAGATCAGCGCAGAGAGTTAGCTGTCTCTTCCCCGCTCCTCGTCTACAACCTGTTTGTAGATGGTCACATTCGAGTCCGATTCCTCCGTATGCCTAGAAGGAATTGAGATTGATCAGCACCATTGAACTGGACCCAGACACCTTGATATCACTCCATGGATATGCCAGCCAATATGTAACCGGATCTTGTAGGACTACTCGTCATCAGGATTGACATCCAAGCAGGTCTGTATCAGGTGGGAAAAGCTATCTTGGCCCGATGCCGGGACATAATGTGGAGTAGCAGCAGCTTGCAGAGATCCTTGAACGTTCCCACGTACATTCCATATCTGACAACTGATTCGGGATAAGGAAAATATTGATCTCCCTACGGAATCTATGTCTTTCAGTCAACCTTATGTGAATAATGTAGTCTTTGTCTCGTAGTTCCGGGGATAGGCAACTTCTTTTCAGATCCTGAAGAGGTTGGGCACATATCGGAAAGGAATGTGAAACTATGTTTTGGTATTAGGAGGAGTTGTATGATATTCACGCTGCTCTTTAGAATACGTAGAGCATTCAAAACCGCTTCTCCACCGTCTTTCCCGGGCCGTAAGCTACCTGGCCCTCCTTCACGTTATCGTGCATAAGAGAATGCCGCTGCCCCAGATATGGGGGTTATGCTTTCACATTTCATGATCACGGCATGCGGGGCGTTCCCATTGCCGAGCACGAAACTGTTATCATCATCCATCGACCTCATCCATCGGTCTTGTCTCCTGTCCTTTCGCCGTCTCGACCGTTGTCTGCATCGTTCGTCGTTGTCATCTATATAACAAGCTGCATCCTTCGAAGAGCCTCATCGGGGCGTGGAGCCTTCTGATTGGTTTGTTTTGCCCTCAATAACTCCACATAACGTGACTAGGATAAAACTAGTATATATATATATATATATATATATATATATATATATATGCTGACTAATGACAGCACCCCTTTTCCTCTCATGCGCTCGCTGCTCGTTACGTCCCTTCTACTCAAACAGTCCTGATATTGTTATAGACGAGAAGGATAGACGTCGCCGGACAGCAGTGAAGGGGAGCCTCATGTCTCACCAGGCATTTTACTGGCAAGCTTGGTAAGTTAGAACGATTTAATTATTGCAGCCAATACTCCGGCAGGGCACAAAAATCCTGACAACAAACTGAAAAAAAAAAAAAAAAAAAGAGACCAAACGCCATGCTTCCAAAGAAATGATGATAACCTTGCAGATAGAAAGAAACACAATTCATGAGCAGCAAGGATCGATAATCAGCATAAACAAAATGAAGAACAGGCTCGCCAAGCGGATGATGGTATGGGGGGTATGAAAAAGTGGAATCATAATAACGGCAGCAAAGCATGCAAATATGGCGGGAAACAACAAAATAAGCTTGAGAAACGGGAAAATCAGCTCGAGATGGTGAAACGAAGTCAGTATACCCTATAAAGTATGTTCCGCTGGCAGCACGTTCCAAAGGTCTCTTAACTGGTTACACTACTGTTGCGGAAATTGTGGACTCGAGCCGGACGGCTTAATCTTGGGTCGGTCCTCTCTTTACCTTTGAACCAGCGCAATCACATCAGTATGGGGTCGGTCCTTTATTCTCCACTGAATATTTTGTCGTATTGTTGGAAATGAAGAGGAGTAGAAGAGAAACGGCAAATGGGCGATCACAGGTGCAGTGCAAGCGTGCGCTGGGAGAGCTCATCTATTTGAACCAGTCAGTATCTAATCTTCGGATATCTTCCGTTTCCCCCGTTACTTGGGAGTTCAGGTAGAATTGAAAGGAGATCGAGTTATATAACTCATATCAAGCCTGTTTAATCATGGATCGGATGCGTTGATGTTGGCACTGACTGACCTTTCTCGACACCTGTGACCGGGGACTTGGTCCCGACACAGGAGCCATTAACTACTAATGGCTCAGTGCTATTCTTGCGAGAACTGCTGCTGCTCTTTTCACTCTTAGTCTCAGCTTCGTCAGCTGTCGAAGTTGGTGTCACTGCAACCAGTGAAGGGGATGGCGGTTCTGTTGCCGACTGCTGGGCTTCCTTCGTCGGAGTTCCAGGAGTCGCTGCCATTGTTGGTTGAGGCATGCCATTTGCCTCCTGCCTCACTGTTCCCCCTGGTACTGAGGCTGCTGGAAGTGCACCGGGACGCTCAGCGGCAGTCGACATCGCGTGCTTTGCGACGCCGTTTCGGTTAGGGTTGTTGTTATATCCATGGCCATACCCATTACCATTGCCATGGGTCGTTCCAAGACTTCCGCCACGCTCCCTATCGAAACGAACTCTTATCCGCGACCCCCTGAACATGGAGTTATCAAACAGCGCAATGGCTCGTTTGGCTTCTTCCTTGTTCCGGAAAGCCACTATGGCACAGGTCCGCGTGCTGCCGCCGATCTTTCGGTCAAATACATCGCATCGTTCAATGATCCCTGCGGTACGGAGATATTCCTTCAGGAGCTGTGGGGTTGTTTCATGGCTGAGATTATGAATGAAGATGTTTCGTGAAATTGGTGTGCCATACTCGTGGTTCATGCCCGATGCGACCCCAACGCTAGGGCCAGATAGACTGTGTCGGTGAGGAAAGAAACCGGGGTAGGCTTGGATGCAGTTGTTCGTCATGTATCGCGGCTGTCCGAATTGATATGAATCAAACGATGGCGGATAGAATGCTGGATGAGGTACGAAGAAAGCGTTCTCGCCGGGAAAGACTAGGGGGACATGATACCCGACTGACTCTGGGAATTGAACATACGGCGGATGGCAAGCACCTGGCAAGGGCGCCATGAATGGCGGGTGCTGGTGGTCTGGCGGTTGAGTAAATGTAGGCGATGCCGGCATACTGGTTCTCCGGTAGCCCATCGTTAGCTCAAACCTCCTTCTACATTTTGTCTATGTCTTGAATGACGTAGCTTCACTTACTCCTGGTTTGGAACGCACGCTGGACTGGCTCCCATCGGAGCTGAAGTGACTGGGGGAGCAGAGAATCCCGAGGCATATGGCATTCCGCTTAGGGATGGGCTTTTTGTTGGTCCTGCTATAGGTTTTGTCGGCTCACTAGCCAGTGAGAGAGTCACTGTGAGACTGTGTCCGTTCCATCCATTCGTCGACAGTCGATCTACGGAGCTCCGGTCAGCACAAGCAACACAGAACATCCTCACCCTTGACATAGGGGTAATAAAGGGATTATCCCTCAAAACGTACTATATGTGCGCCATGCCTCGTCCTCGTTCTTCACTATAATCTGACCTAGGCCTGTCGGATGGCCGTGGCAATCATCATATACCACCGCTTGGCGGATATGCAATGCAGTCTGGCGAACAAAGTCCTTCAACTCCTGCCACCGGCACTGTGGTGGAATCTGCCCCACACGATATCATTCATTAGCTGCATGTTCAGACACAGCTGCAAGCGTAGTTTTCCCGGGTGTATCATATCTTCAATATGAGGGATGAGACTCACCCCTTGGAGGAAGACGACATATTCGTCCTCCAGTGATCGAGGATTCCGATCTTTCCCATCTTTCTGCCGTGGGGAAATAGGCATCATCCCGTTGGATTTCATCTTTCGTCAGAGCTATGTAGCTCCGTTTCTCCAGTCTTTCGAGACAAGGGGTTCAATTACCCGAGGATGATCTGGTGTAATAGGCTCAAAGTGATTCGAAACAGACGTAACGAAGACAGGGTCTGATTCCTGCGGCTCGGGCTAGCGATACTCTTCGGTCTCCCCAAACTCGGCCACCGTCTTCTGCCTACTACTCGCTGCTGGGGCCCAAATACTTCTTCCCGGGGCAGACAGCTCAAACGTACCAAGCCGTGGCCGTTTCCGGCGGTATGGATGCGCGAGCTAGAACAAAGAGGTTGAAATTATGCGGGGGTTTGCACGTTGTTTCCCCTGCCACATATATTCTCTTATCACGAGGGATCCTTGCTTCTTTCTAGAAGAACAAGAAGGGATGGGGGGGGCTTTCAGTCTAGAGAAACGAAAAAGAGGAATGGCCTAGGTTGATGTGGGTGTTGTTGGTGCTGATGTCGATCAAGTGTACGCAACCTACTTCCGAGAACCGGACAATCAACAGATAAGACAGACAGACCTTCAAGAGAAGAGGCACTGCGTGAGAGATTGCGAGAGGGGTTGAGTGGCCCGGGATTCCAGGGAGGCTAGGTTTAAATCTTCCTGGGTTTTTTTTTTTTTTTTTTTTTTTTTTTTTTTTTTTTTTTTTTTTCTGTGTTCAAAGGTCGTACTATATCACCAGGAAGAGCCAGCGAAGTGGGTATAATATGTGTATATATAAAAAGATAGTTAATCCAGAATGGATGAAGAGGTTGATTAAGCACAGCCTGTTGCGCTGGCAGCTGCAGCGAGCGATATATAAAGGCAAAAAGAGAGGAAATAAGGCTAGATATCAAATGTATATATTGAATGCCAGGTAGGGTAAAGTCATCCGGCGGAAGTGTAAGTGAACGAGAGTTATTAAAGAGACTCTGGCCGGCTCTTGTTCAAAGCAGCGAGCTAGGCTAATCTGCAAGGTCAAAGAATTTAAGAGAGAGAAAGTGAAGAAGAAGGAGAAGGAGAGGCAAGAAGAAGAAGAGACACGGATATTATTAAGACGGGGGTGCTGACTCCATGGGGCAGCAGAGAGAAGGGAAGGAATCGTGAGCTGTACAAATAACCATTAAGTAGTCCACAAGCATTAAGATGGTAAAAGAAAAGAAAAAAGATGGCCGGGATGTTCAAGAACTGGGGACAACGATGAAGATGAAAAATTGATTTAAAAATTAAAAATTCAAATATAGAAAGGGACAGGTAGATGGGGTGAAGGAAGGCCATAGCTAAAAAAAAAAAAAAAAGTACGTCCTCAAGTATGTACGTACGGAGTTTGTATATGCAAGTCTTCTTCTGCGCATGTAACAAGACCGAGAGATGTAATATTACCCCCATAACATAACATAACGAGCCCTCTCGCTCTTTCTCTTAATTCTCAGCTCTGTATGGGCGAAAGGAGTAAGGATTAGTCGCATGCGTAGATTTGATGGCGCTGTCAGGTTCGAAAGGGACCAAAATAGGGCCTGCTATAAAACTATTAATTCATCCCTGTGTAGCCCACCAACTGGGCTGGAATCAAAGTTATTGGATGGGAAGAGCGGGAGATTGGACAGAGTTGGCTGCTCGTCTTTTCTTTTCCTTCATCTAATGCTCTGTTTTATTCCTTTTTCTTCAGTTTACTCTTCCTGAACGAAAGATTACCGTGCTGTGCTGTTATTACCATAGGTTAGTTACGAGCCCAGCTGATTTTTACGGCAGAGCATAGTTACAGACAAGAGATATTTGACTAACTCACTAAATATTATGAAGCAGGAAGATGGGCGGGCGGCGGCGCCCTTTTTTCGGGCCTTTTCTTTTCTTTTCTTCTTCCCATCTTTCCTGCATCCCATTTGGACATGCTTGCTTTTTCCCCTTTTCGTTTCTTTTCTTTTTCCCTGGTTTCTCTCTGGTCGCCTCTGTCCCTCTCTCTCCTCCCTCCCTCCCTCTTTCTCTCTCAATAATACCTTTCTTCCTCGGGTAATCAAAGCTGGTGTTGATGCAGGCTGAGATCTGATTTCTGCAAGCCTCCCGCAGGGAGAGAGTAGGGGTCCAACGCAGGGATGGAGACAACGACGACGACGACGCTGACGATGATTATGGCCTCTGCTTTCCTATGTAGTGAAGAAATACGAGTCCATGCATGATTCGAGAGTTAGGATGTGTGAGGTCAGATCAGAAGAATCTAACATTTGAGATTCGAGCTGCGCCCGCCTGTTGTTTGCTGCTATTCCTCCCCCATCTAGCTCTGGATGGGCCATGGTGGTGAAGAAGGTAAGGAGCTCGTTCACTCCGCAGACCATCCAATCTCAGAGAAGCCAGGCGGGAGAGGGACAATCGTAATCCAGTCCATCGGCGCATGGATCGCAATTGCGACCAACGCTGCAGATAGGCAAAGAGGAACACACACACATAGTACCGGCAAAAACAACTAGCTCCCTTTCAGAAGATGGCCAGGGTCTCTCTTTTCTTGCACGAACTCGTTAGTTCGGCTCAGATCTCCTTGACTGATCCCCGTACTGTACACATGGATATACTTGTGTACATACATGCGGTTTATGACTTCATCCCAACAGAGTATGTAAACAGGGCCCCAGTGAGGAGAAGAGAAGAAGCGTGGTGCTGTCTGCGGATTCGTCTTGAGTAACTCTGCGCCAGTTGGTGTTGGCTAAGCAAGCCCTTCCTGCGGCTGCCCCCTTCTCCCGTCAAGGAAGACAGGTGGAGGGAGGACCCCAAGACTTGATGCACACTGCGATTTGCCCCCCTGCCGACCCCGGACAGAGCAGTGGATGAGAGCGAACCGTTTCAGTATCCGTAAATGGGGCGAGGAGGGTAGTTCTCTTTTTCCCTCTGGCCCCTCTGCTGACACCCGTGAGCAATGATGAGCTGGTCTTCCAAGATAGCACAGGTAGGAAGATGAAGGTGCTGCAAGGACCAATCTACTACTTGCTTCTCCGTAGTTACGGCTCTTTGGACGGGAATCCCCCCCCCCCCCCCCAGCCGGCCGACGAGCCGTTAATCTGTTAAGAGTGAACTGAGATGGTCCCGGCGGGAAAATAAGCCAATCGACACGACTTTGATCGATCGATACAGATCAGTAGTATGTCTGCCCTGTAAGGATGTAAGTATTTCGTTCGGGCATACACACAAGGCCCTTGTCCATGACTAGAGGGAGACTAGTACGTGCGTGCCGCAGATGTGGAGAGCTTGAATAAAGGGGCACATTTTTTTGGGCCTGGACGAGACAGGTCAAGCACGCCTCACCTGGACCGCTGGTGCTGCTGATATGAGGCATCAGAATGCCTGAATCAAGTTCTTTTTAGCCGGGCCAGGTTCCTTTCCTTTTTTTTTTTTCTCTTCTTCTTCCTCCTCGCCTTCATAACCCCCTCCCCCTACCTCTCTGAGAGCCCTCGAGGAAGTACATAATATTCGAGATTTATGTGTTTCCTGGGTGTGTATTAGGACGTATGTAAAGAGATGTATTTTATTTGGGCCACTCCCTGGTCGAAAATTAAACGCTCGAAAGGACCATTTATCATCTCTCTTTCTCTCCCCCTCCCTTCGAACCCTGGCCTGCAGATAGTTTACTGGGGATTCGCTGAGCTTGGTCTCTGTGGAAAAGAAACGAGAAGAATGAAAAAGCTCCCCTGCCCTCCTCCAAGCTTCCGTTGGCACGTAGGACAAGAGGGAGGCCATTTCTTGCAGCTCTGAGTGGCCAACAGTGTCTGACGGAGGGAAGAAACCAGATGAGAACGGGGGCTCTCGACTGGACCGAGGGGCATATCCCTTCTTCGGGGTACTTTTTCGGTTCCGACGGGGAGACGAGAGAACGCAAAGGGAGCCGTTATTTCAATTATTCTGTGCAAGAGCTGGACCGCACAGGGCAAGGAAAGGGGACCTCGACAGTCATCCGCAAGCCACCCCTTTGGTGGAAGTAGTCAGATAGAGATGCACGGGCGTGATCTGTAGTCTGGATCGGTGACCAGTGATCAGCCGCCTACCCTTGCCTCTGCAGCAGGCGTTGACGATTGTGTGCAGGAGGTGCTACTGCTGCTGCTGCTGCTGACGATGAGACTGATGGGAGTCATTGGGCGCGGGCAAGGGCCGTTGTCTTGGTCTACGCCACAGGCAGGCCAGGAGCCGGGACAAGTTGATAGACAGGATAGACAGGGCAGAGAGCCCTTGTCCGGGTCCCTCTACCTTTGCCAACTGTTGCATTCGGCCCCCTCTTCGGTTCTCCTCTCTCTTCTCTCTCTCTCCGTCTCTTTCTTTCTGTTTTGTCTGTCTCTTCGCTCTCCGGTTCTGTATCTTGGGGAGTTCAAGCCAACGCTGGCCCTGCTCCAGGTTGGTGCCGCCGCCGCCAGAGCCAAGTCCGATAGTCTGGCTGGCTGCCTGGACGCTGATTGACGAAGCGAGAGAGCGCAGGGAGGAAGAAGCAAAGGGAGAGCGACGGCTAGTAACCGCCACTGTAGATCGATGGATCGGGGGTCACTCGTCGTCAACGCCAACACCGTCATGGAAAGGCGTCCAGCACCAGCAGCAGCGGCTATGGGCCCGACGATGCCGATGTCTATGTCGACGGCGGTGTATCCGTGGGACCGTGGGCTCTCCCGTTACATGGCCAGCAGCCGTGTCCGGTGCTGTTGCTGCTGTCCGGTGATAACTAGCAGCCGCGGTGATGGTGGTTCCTGTCGAGCGCCCCTGGCCGTCACGCAGGAATAAGGAACTGCATGCAAGCAATGGAGCGGACGCCGGCCAGTGGTACAGGCGACAGCGAGCTAGCACTGCTCTGTGTACGGGGCCAGCAAGCCTGGTCAAGGCCGTCTTCTGCTTCTCCCTGGGCGTCCTCCTGGTAGCTGGCGACTATCTGCTCGGTTGCATGTTGACTACGGTAGATACTTACGCGCCCGCCCCCAAATAACCAGCGTGCTGGAAGGAAATATATACATACATACGGAGTACATACATACATTATATATATATATATCGACGTTTCGGACGATTACGAGGCCAAGCACGGGGTACAACGATGTCCTTCTCGCTGCTCAGTCGCCGAAGGCCCAGGGGATGAAGAGCATGAGAGCAGCTGAGAAGAGCGGCCGATACCCCCAGGGCCAGCTGGCTGCTGGAGCCCTTCCACCCGCAGCGGTTGCAGGTTCTGTGTGCTGCACGACATGCATATGGAAGTACAGACCTTTTCTTCTTGTTGTTTCTTCTTCTCCGCCAGCTGCAGTCAGCTTTCTTCTCATGCGGACTATTTGCTCTCGCATGCTTTACCGCCATGGCTCCTCCATTGGCCGCTCCAGGGGCCATCTGCTGCCCCGGAGAGCACCAACAACGGAGGTTTTGATACTGGATCTATACGCCGTACAAAAACTTCCACACAGTTTGCCCGCCTCGTTCTCTGTGTGGTCCGGGAAAATACTCAATTGGCCACTTCTCTCGATATCCATACTCCTCGCCAGATCACCCACTTGTTGACAGCATCCCTTCACTCCGTACTTTAAACACATACGGGGTGTATATACACAACATTGTGGAGGGCCGTGTGTTTCACGCCAGCTTCTCCAGGTCTGCATTCCTCCTATATGCCGATAGCCAGCCTGTTTCCCGCTGCCGATCGCTAACTAATTCTGGGGTTGCATATTCAGTCAAATTCTGAGACTGCCCATGGAAGAAAATAGTTGCTGCAGCATACCACCGCGTCCGCCACTATGTTTCCAAGAGGTGTCTCGTTATATACCTTCAACATGCAGCCATGTATGTATTATTTATTGCATAGCTGGCTGCAGATGACATAGTTATCCCTATCTAGGGTCCCAAAACAGCTACGGCCAAACTACTGGTGAACCATGGGATGCTTCGTTTTCCTTGCACTACTTCAATTACTCGCATCAACTATAGGTAGGACTTGACCAACGTATATACCACCTGTTCCACGTGCGAGCCGCGGTCGACAACGCATCTCTCGGGGTGGGGAGACAGGTCTCTATCCTCAAGTCTGGGGAAGCAGAGAGAGACTGAGAAGAAGCAAAAAAAAGGGGGGGGCGGAACGGGAGGGTGGTCAAGCTTGCTAGACGAATAGTGAAGCAACCTTCAGGAGAGACTGCCAAATCACCGCTCACTGCGAGTTCCCCCCTCCTGGGCATTAGCCGAATCAATCATATGAACAGATGTCACAAGAGGACGGGTGCTCACAGCCCTGCTGTGTTCTTGATCGGTATACGGTAATTATTATCATTATTCTTCTTGTGCAGTATCTCTCCTACACTCCTACCGTTTCCTCCTTCTGATGCGCGTGATAACAAAGGTGATTAGGCTTCTCCTGGCCATGGATGATTTGCTCCCATAATTTCAGGCTTAACGGCGAGGTAATTTTTGTTTACCTTTCTCAGGATTGAATTCGGGCTGCCTTTGTCCGCCTTGGCCATGATTGCGTCTGATCTGACTTCTAAGAAATTGGGGCTGGTGAAGTTGCTTATTTGGCTACCCTGGGAGGTACATGGGCACAGCTACATAGGCTTCTAGGGGCTGCCTTCTTCCCAGGAACCCCTTAGTAGTCGTCAGTCGTTTTGTATAAGTCTCAGGTGTCATGGCTTGGGCTATAATCGATGCTCCTTATGCATGTTCTACCCATGAACGGCAAATAAACTTCCCCCGACCTCCATACGTGGCTCTGTTTCCCGGCCTCCATTGCCCCCCTGTTCACGATGAAGCCTGGCTCCTGGCCTTCGGGTCATCCTACACACCACTACATCATACATACGTCCTATCATACACCTGCCTTTTCCCTGAGGCAAAGGGGAAAAAAAGGATTCCACACCTATCCCAACCCAGCCCGGCTCAAGCAATCATACACATCTCCTTTCTTTCCCATCCGGCGAAGTCCGAGTATCAGACATACTGGAGTTCTCCGAAAAGACGAACGGCGAGAAAGGGCAGGGCTGAAACTCCCTTCCCCCTCTAAAACGACGGGATACAAAGGTGTTCAAATACCTGGTGCGCTTCTCCCTCCCTCCCTCTTTTCTGGTTCAGTCCTGCACGACATCTCGTATAATCTAGCTTATTTTGTTATAGGTATGAAAACTTGACCCGGGCTGTAAAATCCTACCTGGTTTCTTACGGGACTGGGATGTTGCTCCTTTGGGGGAATACATAGATGCGTAGCCGTGCATTTTATTTTGTTCTATCTTATTTTGTTGAGGCTCCAGCCAGCCGGCTGGGGTTGGTGGTGGACTCCGCTATATGGAGATGGTTTATCATACCTGGTAGCTGAACGGGTTATAAGACATGATTGTGAAGCTATGTCTGGTCAAATGATTCCACAGGGCTTTGAGCTAGGGCGATCTTGTGCGGGTTGAAGCCGCCTTAGTCGTGGATAGCCATCCTCTATGACTTGGTTGAGGACCAGAGACAAATATATATACATGAAAACGGTGTAATAAGTAGGAATATCTACCGATGAATACCGCAGGTTGGTATTCTTAAGTTTATGATAATATTATAACTCACTCTCACTATAAAATTTGCTTTCCCAATTTGACTGATATTAATTTAGAGTGATATGAGGTATAAAAACGGCCTGCAACAGCCAAATCAATTTCGCTAGCCAATAGAGATTATAAGACGAGCCACAATGAACAATGACAGGATAGAAAACAAGAACATAAGAGGATAAAAGTACACGGAAATACATTTGGTCATGTCTCGAAATAGGTTATCTCCTGGCCAGTATGCGCTCTTGGGCTACAGGTAATCCAAGGCACGGGCTCGGGCAGATGAAGACTCGGGGAGTGCATCTCGGCTACGGTACCTGCCACGACCGCGCGGAGGTGGAGATCGAGACATCGATGCCGACCTCAACCGTGACCTTGATCGTGACCTCGAAACAGACCGGGTTCTTTGACTTGCTCGACCGCGTCGCGGAGATGGTGACCGAGAGAAAGAGTAGCTACGGCCTCGAGCTGTGCCACGTCTGGGAGGTGTGGGTGAACGCGAAAAGCTGCGCCCCCTCGCCTTAGTGGTTCGACGGGGATGGGGTGAAGGGGATCGTGAGATAGAGCGTGACTCGCTTCTTGCGCCCCGGCGATACCGTGAAGGAGTAATGGAGCGAGAAGGTGAGCGCGAGTAAGAGCGTCTAGTGCGAGTATGGGTGCGGGGATGTGGTGATGCAGATGCAGATGGAGAGCGGGAGTACGAAGATGCACGCCTAGCCCGGCGTTGTGGAGGAGGGGTTGGTGATATTGACCTGGAGTAGCTTCTGCGGCGTCTCCGGGAAGGGCTTCTAGATCTGCTTGAGGGGGTGCGAGAGCGAGAAAGGGAGTAAGACGCAGATCTCCCGCGCACACTACGCCGGCCTCGAGATGGAGACCGAGAGCGGGAGAGTGACCGGGAACGAGATAACCGGCTGCGTGAGCTGTAGCTGGAGTAAGAGCTGACAGACTCAGAGTCTGATTCAGGGGCTTGTATGGCCGGCACAGTTGGCTTGGGTATATTTTTAAGGTGCTCACGCATCTCTTCGGTGAGAACACCCATTCCGATACTGGTAAAGTAGTTGATGGAGAAACGGGTGTTGCGAGGGTTATCGGTCGGGAATATCCCTTCATAGCTGGGCAGAAGAATCGGGTCTCTCAACCGTTCCTGTAGCTTGGTCATTCCCAGCACCTCAGCAAGATCCTGGAAGAGAATCTTGATAAAGATACGGCTACTTGACGTTGTCTCTTCTTCGTTGAGATGAACGATAGATAAGACATGCCAACCGATGGCATCAGAGCTAAGCATATGGCTAAAAAACCGAGCAATGTTGCGTAGCCTGTTCGTCTCATACCTGTGGATGGTCTCGTAGTATGTAGCAAAGGCAGTTTCGAGAAGGTCAGCCCATAATCGGTTGATTTTGGCGAATCGCTCTCCGATCAAACCGTAGAACTTGGAATAGGTGCGCTCCTGAGAGCAGCACTCTATGATCATCGATGGCAATTCAGATTCTTTGCCAGTAGGAAGGTTGATTTTCATCAGTTTGTGACAGCATTCTTCAAAATCAATGCTAGACATGATTGTTAGGTAAATGGTACGTCGCAGATTAACCAGGTCGGTGTTGCTTTGGTCTTTAATATCCATCTCTTTTTCTTCTTCATCCTCTTCCGCTTCAGAGCTTGCCTCTGAGTCGTCCTCTTCCTCGTCATCACTTCCTTCTCCAAGAATCTCAGCCTTAAGCTTCTTGTATGCCTCTTCGTGCTCCTCCCACTGAGGATCGAATTTAAAGATATTCAGCCCGTCTTCAACGTTAATCTCATCATCCAAACCAACACGATGTGTGATTTGATCTTCTTCTTCAACAAGATCAAGCTCCTCCTTGATGGCAGGGTTGTCCTTGAACTTATCTTTTCTGACCTGAAACAGAACTTCAATCATGTATTGCACACGCTTGTCGATATCTGCTTCGTGCAGAATGTGCCTGAATTGGTCAAATACGGCCAAGGCAATCGAACCGCTCATTTCCTCCAAATGTTGCCCAACTTCTCGTGTGAGCCCAACCGCGATCTCAACGCTGTCATCGGTAGGCTTATGAAGCAGCAAGAGTAATATCTGAGCAGCAACCATTTCATGTACTACCTGCTGGTTGCATAAGTGCGCAATAAACGTGGTTGAAGAAATACAAACAGCCTTGTCGTTGCGCTTGAAGGCCTTTCGGAACTGGACAACCAACCGATGTAAGAGAAGCTCTCCAACCTGAGGAAGTTTCGTGTTCACGATGGCAGCCATTGCAGCGTAAATCGGCGTAAACGGTAAACTGGCAGCCTGGGCTTTCATTATGCTGCGGCAAAATAGGCCACGGCCACGGACCAGATTTTCGCCAAACAGCTCGGGGACAATATGTTTGATGTTCGAAACATTGACTTTGTTGATCAACCCGTTTATCGACTTCTTCAGAGCCTCCCATGCCATCCGTTGGTACTCCTTGCTCGACTTATCGGTTATCTGAGCTTGGAGAGCCCGCAGTCTTGCAGGAGGTATATATGTGCCTCCGGAACGCATGTTCAAAAGCTTTTCATATTCAGCCTTCGCAGCTGCTTGTTTCTCCTCCTCAGTTAGCGGTTTGGAGGCCGCGGGCCTTTGGGTTCGACGAAACCTTTCTGCCAGCTCTTTTTCCCTCGCATCTGGCTCATACTGGCCATTCTCAGCATCATCTTGAGCCGGTGCACGGCGGCGACGATCTGGCGACGGTGAACGCGAGGTTGGTGACCGCTTCCGAGGGACGGATGCGCGCGGAGAATAGGAAACTCCTGGCGGCGGGGTTGGCAGACGGACTGCCGACTGCATTGCCATCGTTTCTGCCATCATAAGTAAAGAGTGACAAGCACTGTGGTGAGCAAGAAGAGCTCGCTGGTTGAAAATGTAGGTCCAACTCGGCTCAAAGATCGCGAAAGTTTTTGGATGATAACTACGTCACGTGATGGTTTCGATTTTCGATACAGAGCAAAAGCTGGCCTTCTTTAAGGTGTTATCTGTTCGCAGCACCGGGATACATTCTAATTATAGGACCAGGAAGTGAAAGAAGTGAAGAGAAGTAAAAAGAAGGACGGCTGAGCCCGTAGCCTACCTGATTACAGCCTCACTTTTACCTCTCGACCGTTGCTCTCCCTCAGATATGGTAAAGTTGTTCCCTATGCGTTGAAGAAAAGAGGAGCTACATGGCTAACCAATGCCACAGCTAGGCCAACTGTTTGGCTTTGCCATGCTGCTCGTGGCAACCGCAGTGTTTCTCTACTATACGGCATGGACTTTGTTGATGGTAAGTTTATAACTTGAGCTCTACTTCCTCGGCTTGGACAGCTAATTGACTGTTGTTTATCTAGCCATTCGTTGATCAGGGACACCCTCTCCATGATCTCTTTCCACCACGGGTTTGGGCCATCCGCATCCCAGTGATACTCACAATCCTTGGATCCACGGTGGTTGGCACATTCCTCGGACTCGTCATGATTCGAAGTAACCGGAAGAAGGCAGCGAAGGCCAAAGCTGCAGCGCTCAAGAAGAAAAGCTGAGCGAACTATCAAGAGTTCTATGACAGGCGGTTACACCATTATGACCGCGATTTGCCGATGAAGATACAAGTCATCTTCTTTCCTTGGATGGTTTCCTTGTCATTGCTACCCCCTTTCGCGACATCTTTGAAGCGGCAAAGCGTGCATAGATTTGTGTACGCATTCAATGATAAGCGGCGTTGCTCAAGGTTTTTTCTTGGTTTTCATAGTATTTAGGCTATTAAACAGCGGATAGGGAGGTTTAGAGCATTTCCTAGTTTCAAAACATGTTAATACATAATCATGTATGGAGTATATCTATATATTGGCCGTTAAGCTACCGTGTATATACACCCGGTTGTAGCTGTGACCAGGGATGGATGACCAGCAGGATGACCGCCCAGCGTGCTATCTTCACAGTCACCCATAGCACCACCACCACCACCACCACCATTCGCCTTTCTACTTCGCGTGCTCCTCCCACCGCCGTCTCTTTCTTTTCTCTTCCTTTGACTTCTCATCTTCCCCGTCTTCTGCTGCCTTGTCTCCCGCCTTTCATCTTCCCGTTTCATCATCGCCTGAGCACGTGAGAGTCTCTATCACGTGGATGATGAGTCATCCGTCAGGTGATGAGGCTGTTCCTGGAAGTTTGCCTTGTTTGCGCTGTCTTTCTTCCCCCATCAAGCTTAGCGCCAGCCCACAAAAAGAAAATAAAGAGGGTCCCGCCCATGACCACATCGGGAGTCGTGACTCTCACCCCAGCGGTTCTTATTTAGAGGAAACAGCATCGACTTCAACCTCAACTTCTCCCCCTCATGCAGCTCTCTTCCTGCTCAACACCACAACCAACCAGAGAACCTACCGGCTACTGAGAAACGCCTCCGTCCCAAGATTTCCAGCTTGCAGTAAGGCTGGCCTATCGAGCTATCTGACCCTGAGTGCGGCCTGCAGCTCCCGGCAAGGAGCTTGTTTGCCCCACTGTGATACATATCTTCAGCTCCCAGAGCTGCCTCGTTAACGCTGAAATCCTTTCCGCGGGTATACCGCGGACGAAGTTATTAGTACTTCCTATTGCTGTACGTACTTAACCGATGTTAAATCCCCGCCTTTCAGACCATCTGTACTCTTATTCCGTCCACCTTTTAAAGCTGACATTTTACAGCTGTCTTATACACGCAAATAACCATATAAACCATATTTCAGCAATATCTGTGATACTCCCTTTGTTTAGGAGATAAAAAGGACGGGAGACCCTCACGGAGGCGTTGTTTGGGCATAGGGGCTGCTGGGAACCCTTACGGCGCTTAACACGTCACCTTGTATGCCGCAAGCGTCTAACACCCGCCACCAGAGAAGCCAGTCACCAGCCCCTAGTAGCCCTCTTTCCCAACCACCACTTATATCCGCGAACGTGGCGAAGAAAAAGAAGTTAGCAAAGAGGCCGGACGATGCTGCTAGAGGCGACCATGATAGTACGACTAAAAGTGAAGCGAAGGCGATTTTTGATGAATCGTAAGTAAAACATATATACATACTGCTAATATTAAACGGTGAATGCTAATTTTTTACCCACAGGTGCGAACCTTCACCAATGAGCCAGTCACCTGCTCCCTCTATGCCGCCTATGAATCCGGCAGTCGGCCCTCCAAGCGCTATCGACTCACCGGCCTTTGGACCCTTGGAATCCTTCTCACCTTCTCCTGGTGAGCAAGATCTGGCCACGAGAACAGATTCGTGGGCACGAGCTATACCATTTGGGAAAAGTCCGCCAAATGATCCCGCAGATGGAGTTGAATTTGCGGAATCCCCTCCAGCTTTCACTTTACCCTCTCGAGGAGACGCTTACCGTCAAGCTTCTCCCTCAACATCTCCTCCACAGGCTCGACTTCGACCACCAGGTTTTGCAGATGCAACGCCAGCTTCCACGCCGCCCAACAGCCTTCCTCGGGATAGGCAGCAACGTTATTCTATCAGCAGTCATCGTAGCAATAGGATGAGTTTTCCGCCCCCACCTCACCTCCCACAGGCGCATTTCTATTCTGCACCGGACTTTGATATTCCTGGAGTGTTCCAATCAGGTTCCAAGCACCATCAGCAACCTGGGCATTCATTTTGTGCCGTTGAGCCTCTTCCCGGTAGCTCCTACAAGGCTGCCAAGACCGGAGGCAATGTGATCCTTGTGGGTCGAGACGGTGAGCTGGACGTTTTAGGAATCGAAAATTCACGAACGAAAATAATAGGATCTATTCAAGGACTGAATGGAAGGGTTATCGATGCTAAACTCTTAACATGGACCTCTGGAGCTGATCCTTTTGCGTCGATACGGCCGTTAGTTGCTCTTAGCATCCATGGGATAGTTCCGAAGGAAGAAAATATCGCCTTACCGGCTTCCTCTACCGAGCCAGAGCAGTTGGATTTCCTAACCGGCTCGTCTCCAAAGCAAACAACAAATGCAAGACCAGACATTCCCCTAGCGCAGACGAGAGTACAGATCTACTCTCTTAAGACTAGGGATCTCGTTTCAACCTTATTCGCTACTAAGCCTGTTCCGTGTGTCGACACCTTTCCTGGAGTTGCTCCATATGTACCTCCACCTACAGCCAACCTCAGAATCCTTGCCAGCGGTAATTTGGTTATTGTGGCATCTGGTACAAGCGGCGAAGTTATGGTATTTGGTGTTGCCCGTCCTCCTTCGCAGCCTATTTACCAGTGTATCGGAAAAATGTGGACGAATGTACAGCCAAAGGACACCCGAAGGTATTCCAGTTCTTCTGCCTCTACTGATACAGACGACCCACAGGCAGAGGCTTCGCGTACGGCTAAAGTTACGGAAATACCTGTTCTTTCCGTCAGCGGGCGTTGGCTTGCTGTAATCAGCCCAAATCCAAACCGAGTTTCACTTCAGGGTGCAGTTCCACCCCATATCACACCTAGAAAAATATATGGGGTTGATGCCCATACGCCTCCATCCCGACCTTCCGTTACGTGTGGTGTAGACTCTGGCGAGGGTGAAAGTTTCCTAAACAAAGTTGCAAGAGGCGTGACCCAAGAAGTATTTAAAGGAGCACGATGGATTGGAGACCAGGGTCTTCAAACTTGGAACAATTATTGGAACAAGGATTCTCAGACTGGTAACTCTACCCCATTACGCCGACCACAGTCCATGGACCAGCATAGCTTTTCAGCGGATATCTTACCTCCAACACACGCCAAAGAGACTCAAACTCCTCCATCGAACGAGCCAGACCTTGTCTCCATCTTTGACCTAAAGCTACTTGAAGATTTTCAAGATGGGAAATCCTCAAACCCACACCCAATAGCTACTTTCCAGCCTCCTCATGGATGCAGTTTTCTTTCTTTATCGCCAAATGGACTCATGCTACTCACCGCAAGCAAAAAGGGTGATATACAAAGCATCTGGGACCTGATGCAGATTCGCCATTGTCGATCTCGCGCTTTCCTTGCCGAAGATCCATCTTCTACTACCAAGTCCAACCCCCCTGCTACTCATGTCCGACAGGTCGCTCGGTATGCAAGGCTGACCACATCAACTATACGAGATGTCATATGGACAGCACCCAACGGCGAGCATGTTGCCATTATAACCAAGAAGGGAACAACTCATGTCTATGAAGTTCCGCCTGCTGCGTTCAGATGGCCGCCACTACGGCGGTCAACTGCTGTCGCACCCACAACGAATGCCGAATCTTATATACGTGACGAAGGAACTGACGATGGCCCTCGCAATGCCTTTTCGAGTGCCATGAAGTTGGTAGGTGAAACCACACAGCCGTTCTTAGCGGCTATGCGTGGTCGAGCTCCTAGTGTTGGTGCAGCATTTGCTGTAACCAAGGGATTTGCAATTCCGTCCGCTGGTGGTAAAGTTGTGGCGGCAGGCTTAAGCAAATCAGTGGGTGCTGCCACAGAAACCATGAATAACCTCCGATATGTGGGTGAAAACAGGCTTCATCCATCCAATTTTGCGAAAGATAGCATAGGTGCAAAGGCCGTTTGGATTGGTGATGAACATGGTGATGAACTATCCGTCGGCATCATGGATGGTGGATCGTTCAAAGTATACCAGGTCGGCAAAAGCTCTGCCCCGCCAAAGCACAGGAAGCGAACTCAACCATTTTTTGGAGGCAAGATACTAGAAGCACGCCTCCCTGCCGAAATGCAAAACCCCTATACCCATGAACAAACTATTATCCGAGGCCCTGACGCCATCACCGGTTCCTGGTCTGGCCCTACACACCATCGCCCTGGAGGTAGTTCAAAGATCAAGTCACCACCCTTGGCCCAAGCTGAGATCGAGACACATGCTCCGTATCAACCGTTCCACACCGACCGCCGTGTAAGCCTGATGGTTTACTCATCGAAGTACAGCGGATCCTCCAATTCACAGCCGTGGGTATTTGGAAATGCCATTCCGACCCATAAGATCCATTTACGCAATGTCACTCAGAGCGATACTGAAGATGGGCCCGATTCCGAAGGCATAGCCAAGTCTCGCGAGATGGAGAACCTTATCAGCCTAGGAGGTGAACATGTCATAATAACCACACGTCGCAAACGCGGACGAGGTCAGAGTGGGGATGACACTGTTGAGGATGGGTTTTTCGAGGATGATTGTGATGTCCTTGACTTCGCGAGGGATCGTGTTTGAGTAATACAAGCACGTTTCGAGCTTACACTCGGTCTAACGTCCATAGAGGAGATGGTCACACACTCATTCACACGCATTGGCCTTCGAAAGGCGTCAATAGTTTCAACACCACAGCTAATGTCTCTCGTTTTATTTTGCCTGTTATTTCCCCAACCAGCACCCTCTGCCTGCATTACCTTGACATATCTTCTCTGCTTTCTTTGAATTGTGGAGGCTGGAAACTCTGGAGTTGGAGGGCAATACTTCCATTTAAATAATTTTATCTACTGACATGTCTACACAGCTTCATCTTGATTTCTACCTTTGGTACCCGATTATTTTTATTTTCTTTTTCTTTTTCATTTTTATTTATTTTTTGACCCTCTAACTAGAACATAAACCTCTGTTTTCCCACCACAGTTTCATTGAGGCGGTCCCCTGTTCCAGCTTTATCCGGAGTTCTGGTATATGTTTTGCACACGTCTGCATGTGAAATGAGTATGCTATCTTGGATTTGCATACTTTACTTCTACTACACCTTCCCTATTAGCCAGGATCATATTTTTCGTTCACCTAGGAATTCCCTTTGTTGGTCTTTTTGTTTTGACTCAATTCTATTTGTTAATAATTCATTGTTTGGGTCTAGGGAGTTAATGAGGGCTTGTTAGATGGATGGTTCTAAGGCTAGGGGTTGATACACAGGTTACTATAAGCAAACTAGCTGACTATATAATAAACACAAATCCAATCAGGATATATATATATGATATGTATACATCATCCTCTTCTTCCTGTCTATTCTACTAAGCCTGTGACTACTGCTCAAACCCCGTTGGTCTCGTCAGCCCACCAGCGCTGAAACTCCTCGATCCTAAATGCCCGCTCCCTCGCCATCTCCCGTCCAGTAACTGTTTTCATCATCCCTTCTAACTTCACCAACTTATCATTAAAATGCTCAATCGCATCGTCCAAGTCAGGCTCCTTGTCACCTTCCTTGCCGGTACTCTTAGACCTGGCTCCAAAAAAGGTGAAACACCGTGCTATTCCCACTGCGCCAATTGCGTCTAGACGGTCTGCATCCTGCACGATGGCGAGTTCGGGATACCCGCCTTCAGGACTGATCAGACGCTGAACGGCACTAGGGTCTTTTATCTCAGTCGAGTAGGAGACGTTTGAAACTATGGTCTGAACTTTCTGCGCTATGCTTTGGTCTGCATGGTGGGATATCAGGGTATCGTAAATGATGGTGTTGGGGTTAATCTTGTGCTGGTTTAGTTTGTCTGCTGAAAGAGGTACATAGTTATCGCCAAGAGCAATGGTCCTTTCTCACCTTTGAGGCTCCGTCCGTTGGTTTGGGAAGGTATTTCCTATCAGCTATATCGTGCATCCAGGCTGCGAGAGTGACCACCGTTTCGTCATATGTAATAGATGGGTTGCGAGTCTTTTCTTCTTCGAGGATTGTCTGGGCGAGCCTGACTACGCGGGAGACATGGCGGACGTTGTGTGAAGGGTCGTGACCTGCCATATGTTTGGCTACAAAAGCAGATATGCGCTCGATGAGCAGCGCGTTGCTTATCATCTTTCAGTGATGGATTTGTGGGTAGTAACAAGGGACAATGTGTATGGAAATCGAACTTTTAGTTCTGAGCTCCAGCTTTGTTCTTTACGGAAGCTATTACTTTTTTTTTTTTTTTTTTTTTTTTTTTGTTAGATAGTGATCTATTTTGGAGTTGGTGGATCAAGATCAACATTTTGACATGTGGTTGTCGATTAATACCGTCGTTGAGCCTCATCATTACCGGAAAATCCATTCAAGATACGAGCCTACATACTTAGGATTGCTAGAAGAGAGGGAGTTGATAACTATAAACTATTTACCTTCCCGTAAGCAAGCTTTTCTGCCAATCTCTGTTGCTTGATCTGCTCTATCCGGCCATTTACCTTGTCTACTCCGTTGGTTACTCTTGAGAAATTGTACGACGATGCTCCGCATATGGAACCAGCCGGGAAAGACAGCCCTAAAGGTGAAGCTAGCATTTTCAGCCTCCGATACCAACACCAGTTATCCCCGTGTTATCCCCATGGGCTTCCCGTAGATATACATACATAGCTCTTCCTCGAGGGCTCGTCGTTGCTAATACTCGATATTTGCAGGCTGGGTTTCCCTCGCGAAACATTATATTCACGTGATTGTCTTCACTTAGTCAGCGCTCGGCAGAGATATCCGTATCGGGTTAAGCGCGGGCGTGCCTCAAGTTTGAGTTTTGCTAGTAATAACGGAGTAAACTTTATGTTGCTTTCTCCAAACTTCAAACGAACCTTCGTTCGCTTGTGTTGTAAATTATTATTACGGAGTAAAAGCGCCATTATTATTACTCGTATTATTATGGCGGCGCTTCAGTGACTGCAAAGACGGGGGCACGGAGTGTGAAAGAGGCAGCAGCCAAAGAGGGTGGGTGTCAGGTCTCGGTTGCACGACGTGTGCATGTGTGTTGTCAGCCAGCAGCGAGACAAGTTGCAGGCTCCATTGAGGGCATGGGCATGGGCATGGATGGCATGTTGATCATCTCGACAGACAGCGGATTTCCCTGCTTCTGCTCGCTCGGCAGCCTGTCCACCATCCATCCGCCAACAGCTCTCAGTGGCCTCCTGAGTGGACTCGAAACTCGGGCACACTGCTGCTCCTCCACCCATCCTGCCTCATGCAACCGAGCAAATAGTCAATGCGGTTCACCGTCCGCCGACCAATCTCCCTCTCGCCATGTAAGACACAGTCTCGCCAAGCTTCACACCCAGCCAGGGCATCAATCGAGGACGGCGCGATGCTGGGCCAGCGCCGTCCGCCACTGATTATTGGACTTGCCAGCCCTGCGCACCCCAGACCCCTTCGCATTATTGAAACTCTCCTCTGGCGACCTCGTGTATCGGCTGATACGCGTATCTTACCAGGCGCCTGGTCCTGTTTCAGAGCTGGCGCCGCTCTCAGCCAATCGACGAGCTGCGCTGCTGCCCCGCGGCCCCCACTCATCGCCAGGGGCAGCTCGGTAATTACCAATATCGTATCG